AAATACCGCGATTTGTCTTCAGAATCGCTGAAAAAAGGTGCGTTTCCCCTGGGGTCGCTAACCACGCCGTAGCCTTGTTTGTGACTCGTATCCCTAGTTCCCTCTGTCTTGTTGTTCAAACTGCATTCTGTGTAAGTTTTGTCAATGGCTCATGTCAGATGGACGCCCTGGCTCTACCAGTTTCGATGATGGCCGAAAGCGCCTTTCCCAACACATCGAACGGACAAAGTTGTCATGTCTATCCGTCCATTGGATTGAAAGTCCTTTGACAACTGACTCTCAAAGTACCTGGTTTTGGCGGACTGAACCCAGGGTTCTAATCATCTGTCAATTGCAAACAGCGGATGCTTTGTGGCCATGAGCAAGCTTGTGGTTTGTGGTTAAATTGATGGGTTCTTTTGAAATTGCCTTCCCGTTCACAGCCCGGCTGTCAGGGTTGAAGGACATTCGAATGTCCTGGACCCGACACGCTGAGCTACCCTGTGGGTTTGAACGGTGGGTCTGCCAGTGGATCGGATATCATCATGATTGGAGAAAGTGCTTGAACAGTTTTCCACAGTTTGAGAGTCCCAGAAGCGTGTTATTTTGTTTATTTTTTTTCTGGAAATTCACAGTAAGACATAGTAAGACAATGGATTTTTACATGCAACAAAAACAGTTTCCAAAGTTTCTAGGTTCAGCCCCTTCGCAGTAACCAAAACAGCGGAGTGTCTCTACGGGGTTACTACGCCATCAACGACCCATTCTGAAAGGATATATATATATATAGATAAATATTACATATAGATACATATAGTGCCATACCAGTTAGAAAACTGAAGCCCATCTATTCACCTCATGTTGCAACAAGACTTCCCAGAGAAGACTCACACACACAGGATTCACCCAACATCACATGGGGATTTTATCATGATTTGATGATCATCAAGTGTGGTCCTCAGTACTACAGTGGATGTTTCATGCTTGATATGTGCATCCATATACCTTGGTTATTATCCCAATTAGGCCGCATCCAGAAAGTGAACATTGTTCCCTGGTATGCCTGGGTCGATATTGGATACCCCAAAACTTGGAGGGTTTGTGCACAACAGACCAACATCTGTTACAACAAAAACCGTTACCTTCGCGCAATCCCAGTAAACTCTATAACTGGAGGTTTCTAGCTGGAAAATCATCTATACATTGTGGATTTTCCATTGCAATGTTTGACAACCGGAGGCTATTCCCAGAATGCTATGTTTGTTGGACTTCGCAGGGAAAGTGTGCCCTTCAACTTGTTTTTGCGCTGCAATGTTGTGTGAGTCAATTTCAGGCTTAACGGCGGTTTCTGTATTGTGCCAGAAGAGAATTCTGACTGGTGACCGACATGATCAGTGTCAGGGACACTTCACTAGAGATGTCTTGCCATGTCAGTGCGACACAACAGCCCCTCCGTTCCACCCGCGAAAAAAACAAAAAAAAACACGTTGCCATTGTTTCACGGCGTCCTTGTCTACCTCAAAAGGTTCTGTAAGGTTTAGATTGCCATTTGGGGCGTACAAATGGTTATAACATGTTATAACTGATAGTAGATGATATACGTGTCCAAGAAGGGCACAGCACATGTTGGAGGTGTTTGCAATTTCTCCATATTTCTCCCACATTTTTGGAGAGCCACAAATTAGACTTTGATTTTGATCAGCTGTACAGCCCTTCCTAGGATGATCCTGAGAACTCTGCGAAGCGGGTCATCGGGTCATCGGGTCATCCCGTCATGGAGCCTTTGTAAAAAAGGACATGTGGATGGACCATGTTGTGGGGCTTGCTCATGATCACCAAGTCACGGATGGTTTTACACTAAAGATTCTTCGTATTATTGTGGGTTTTTCTGTTTCGTTGGTACATTGGTACCCCAATTTCATACTTTGAAGGGAGAATCTTTAGGAACCCCTTTCGTGTGGTGAAAAACACAGAGCTTTCCTGCACCGAAGGCTTGACCCAGCCATCTACGATGTCCGGAGCCCGCAAGAGGTGCCGAGGTGAGAAAAGGTGGAGCCCATTTTTGGAGGTGTCATGGTCAAAAGGTGTTTGTTAACATTTGTTAACCTCTGGTTATTTAACATAGCTGACATAGCTATGGGAAATGCTTCATTTATGGATGATTTACCTATAGTTAGTGGTGATTTTCCATAGCTACATTAAATAACATTAAATAACCATATGAGGTATTTTATCCCATCAAAGTGGATGGTTATCCCACCATTTTCATACAAGTGTTGCTATAGCCATGACTTTTCTTGAATTCCGTTCATATTTTTATTTTCCAAAAACATGATGATTTATGCATGATGACCATACCCTCTTAATTATACAATTCTATGCCACTTGACCATGGAATTCAGATGTTTTTTTTGGTGCTGGTATCGTGACCAGCATCACCGGGTGAAAAAAGCCCCAATTGTAGACTGGTATATTTTGGATGTGTCACAACCACAGACTAAGACATATATATAATATATATGATATATATATATATAATATATTTATATATATATATATATAATACGTTTTAATTATATACATACAATATAAATGTACATATATATATATATACATACACATATAATTTAATTCAAAAAGGTCATTTGACAAGCATCTCTTGTTGGTGCTTCCATGTCCTCAGGATGTCCAAGTTCCAACGGGCAGTGATGTCATAGAGAGACTTCGGTGGCTTGAAAGATCTTCATGTTCAACCGGAGAATGAGCCCCAGCCACCAACATGTCATCTTTTCAAGTTGTTTCATCAGATTCTATTTCTTCAACGGTCAGTCGGATTCTATTTGTTCAAGGGGATGGTGATCAATCCATAGGGATGTACCATTATACACTTATATAATCTGGTTGGTGGCTTGGAACATTTTTTATTTTCCATATATTGGGAATGTCATCATCCCAACTGATGAACTCCATCATTTTTCAGAGGGGTGGCAAAAAACCACCAACCAGATTATAAATTTATTTTGTTAAAAGGATTCCCAAATTCTCCCGTGGACCCATGATTTTCCCATCTGGAAGATTTCCGCTCACAGGGTACCCCTGCCCTCGAGGCGAACTGCTCTGACTGGAAAGGCATGAGGCAAAACGGCAAAATGTTTTTTTTGGCGCAAAGGTGGGGAATCTCTGGGTAAACCGTGGTTGGGTACAGGCATGTATCATTATCATTATCTATATCATTGTTGTTTATCATCATTTAACATAATAAATTATAGTTTACAATTATATGTCCTCATGTGTCCTCATGTAGCGGCAATTATTATCATGTATCATAATGTTTCATCATATGTGTGTGTGTTTTATCCTTGTGTATCATCAATTGTCATCATGTATCATCAGTTATCATCGGTAGTCATCATGTTGTCATGTGTCATGATGTGTCATCAGTTATCATCAGTTGTCATTATCTATCATCATTTGTCATCATCAATCATCATTTGGCATAATGTTTAATCAGTGTTTCCACCATGTATCATCACTTTCCATGAGTCAGCATTGTTTAATATTGTTTATCCTCATGTAGCATCATGTGTCATCATGTTTAATTATATTGCTCATAATATATATATATATATATCAACATGTATCATCGTGCATCTTCAGTTATCAACATGTATTCTTATAATTTATCACAATTCATGTTAAAGTTATCATCATTTATTCCTACTACACGTTGTCATGATGTATCATTTTTTATTTTCATGTATCGCCATGTATCACATTTAACATCAATCATTGCATTTATCCCATACCCATGCAACACATGATGTTTCAACGAATGTGTAAACCAATTGTAAACGACTGGTGATGACTACTTGAACGATTTTGCCATGCGTCGGGCTGGGCTGAAATGGTTGTTGTCAGCATATCTATGATTTGCCATCTAATCAGATTTGACCTACATACTTGGAATCGCAGGAATGGTAAGTGGCTTAAAACTTATAATTATTGCGGTATTCTGCAGTATATTCCCTATATGACTAGGTTTTATACTTGACTTTATATATAATATGACATAGAAGATGACCTGTACCTTCCGGTCATCAAACCTAGCTGGGAAATTGGGGGAGTAATGGACGGTTAATCCACGGGAACATCATTTGTAGGCCCGATATTTTCCAGCCAGCCCTCCTTAGTTTTCCAGAGTTGCATGGAGGTAACAACCAAAGTAGAAGTTTGGAACTTCACCCAGAAACAATTCTGTATTTTTCCCCATGTTAGTAAGCGGGTAATGCAGTAATTCAAATTTAACTGAAGTGAATATCTTATTACCTAAATTCCTATTTATAATGTGGTGCACTTTCAAAACAAACCGTGAGTAGCCACATACCAACGAGGATGCAAACTCAAATAGCACCAAACTGAATGCAACCTTATCATAAGTGAATCAGGTGCTTACACAATGGGTTAGACCTTGGTTTGAGTTCAATCCCTTTGACAGGGATTACACTACATGGTCGCATGGATTTCTGGCGGATGGCTGCAAACTACATATACCTCTTACCGGACATTTTGCTCGGACATGCGTTTGTTGAGCATAGTGAACATCGGTCTCTTACTGTTTCCAGGAAGTGAACATGTGCTAAACCAAGCCCATCCTCCGCAGGAATGTCGAGACTTGATGTACTTAATTTTGCCTGTTCAGAACTTGACTGCTTTGCTGGGCAGGATCAACTGTTTTGACTTGTTTTTGCAGCCGTCTCAGCTCAGTTTTGGGCAGGATCAATTGTTTGGGCGCCATCACCATATCATCCATGCATCACCCAACCCTCTTCTTCCGGATATTTTTAGAGCCGTCTCAGCTCAGTTTTGGAGAATGCAACAAGACAGGAACCAGCCGGTACAAAGTTTTCAGTCAACTCGTTTCTTGGGCAACGCTGAGAGGGACGGTGCAGTAGCGGAGAGCTGCAAGCTAGTGTGATTTGCCCAGAGATTGACCAAGTTTGGTTCATTGATATCACGTGACATCACGACTATGGTGCTGGGTGATATCACCAACACCTACCGAATCAGACACTTGGCGTGGCGCTCGCGGTAGGTGTGGGTAGATGGTGGACCTATTAATGAAAAGGCAGCTAATAGCCGAAAACGAGATGCTGCCAACAAAACGTGGATTGTAAAGGCACGCATTGTGTTGACTACCAAATATGCTCTATGCAAAAGGGGTCCCTCGCCCCTAGTTTAGTTTACCCGCACCAAACATGTTAAGAACATGTCTTGCTCCGAGTTCCTGGCGGCCACACCAGTGGGGAGGTGTCAGGCTTCACGATTTCAAAGAGCATCACCTGATTGGTGGCTTGGAACATTTTTTTTGTTTTTCATATATAGTATATGGGATAATCCTTCCCAGTGACAAATGTTTTTCAAGATGTTAAAACCACCAACCAGTCACCAATGAAAAAAAGAGGTAGTGGGGTATTCAGACAAGAGTATACTAACACTATTCGCCGATATCAGCCCATTGGGGGAACTATTCCTTTTGCTGACACCCCTTTGGCCATGGTTCAATTCTTTCACATCCAAGTTCCATATGGCTGAGAGGATTGCCCAGTGCAGCAGATTCGAATAAAGGGGCTGTGAATCACAAGAATGGTGTCTATACTTGGTGCAGTTGAGGTTGTAAATGGGTATATAGCATTATATAGCTATAATTACAGGGATGATGATATATTGTTATATCCCAACTTCTGGGGCTTGTTACCATAACAAAAAAAACATGAATAATCTCAACTGCACCGATGCTGCTCAGGATCTGATGGGCTTAGCCAGAAAGCCAAGCGAGCCGTCGGTGAGATCGAGCCAAGGACTCGTTTCAGGGGATTTGTTGATGAAAATCGTGTGGCCCGACGGCCCAACAATCATGGAGAAATCTGGGTAAATTAGAACGACCTCACTGTTCTCCCTCACTGGAAATATGATTAATAAGGGAAATGATCCCCAAATGGCCTTAATTCAGGTTGGTGAATTATTATAAAAAAAACACATGATTGTGGATGAATGGATTATTCAACATCCAAAATAACGTTATACAATGTTATACATGATGGATCATGGATAAATAATGCTTCAAATCAAATACCACGTTATTTTGGATGAATGGGTCATTCAACAGCGATTTTGACCTGGTGACCACCGAGGGGTTCATCTTGTGTCATGATCAGTGGGGAATTTCAGGGGACTAAAATAGCCGCAAATTAAATAGGCCTGATATATTGGCTCCAATTTAGGCCTTTGATCTGAACTTCAAAACAATATATATATAATATACAGTATATATATATACGTACGTATATATATATATATACACATCTATCTTTAGAGAGAGAGAGAGAGAGAGAATTGAGTGCTTACATGTCATGTGGCACAAATGAATGTATCCCTCTCGTGGTCTAATCTATTGCTGGGATGCAGTGGAGAATCCCATGCAAACCATATGTTGCAGGTTCATCTCAGAGTATTCTTCATCTACATGGGGAAAAAACTGTTCAGCCAGCTTTGAGTACTTTGAGTACAGGAGGTATTGGATATATAGTCAGTGTATGTCATTGTATCAATACACCCTCTCGTCATGTATCATAGTTGGGAAATAACCTGACCATTTTCCATAGCTGCGTTAAATTGCCAAGAGGTTATATGGCCCATGTCGGTCTGTGCAATTTATAGCGAGGACAGCCGAGGTGCGAGGTAGTCTTTTGGTTTTAACGAGGTGGTTTAACTAAATTCAGTCAGACGGGGTGGGTGCTCAGACACCGTTTCCATGGCAAGGGACATGGAAAAAACTTTTCTGGAGCTGAAAAGGTTTTTTTTTGGCAAGCTGTGATTCTGCAGCAATTTTGCTGAAAGCTCATTTTCCTGTAGCTGTTGGCCATGCTTGTGGTTGTTGCTTCCCGTTCTCAAGAGGAAATGCAGACCCTTGTTTCGAGAAGAACAACTTTTCCTAGTCTGGAACGTTGAATGCCGGGGAGAGAAAATAAACTTTTCGCAGCCTAAAGAGTTTTTTTTTCCACTTACCATTTGGTCCAAGCCAAAAAACAAAAACACATAAAAACGTTTCTCCCCTAGAAAAGTTTTTTTTCCTTCTCCCTTTCCTCCAGCCTTTGGAAGACTTGTCCCCGCCAAGCATTTTGGAAGACTTGTCCCCGCCAAAGAGAAGGCGTGAGGCTTGAATGGGATGAAAGAGCTGTATCTGCAAGGCAAAACTGGGCTGTGTTCGACGAGGGGTTAAACATAAAATGCTCATTTAACGAGATCACTAAATGTTCCGGTTTCACGATTTAAGCACGAGATGACGAGGTAAGATTTGTTCTAAATTGCCCAGATCGGTGCTATCCTCAGGTTTTTTGAGCTGAACCCCCAGACGTTGCTTAGTTTCTTCGCAGACTTCACCCGTGCGCTCTCAAGGACTCCAAGGGCAACATTGACTCCAAAGACGCCAGAGGTGTCGATTCCCGATTTTCCGCCACAGGCATGATTCGTTTTTTCCCTCCGTTATGGAAAGGTATGGCATAGCCATAACCACTGCAAGGGTTTTGCCAGACGTGGTCCCGCAAGCTCAAACTACCGGACCCAGGTGGTCCAATGAAGCGATTTCGATCCCATAAGTGGATTCCCAAGTTACACCCACTGATCCCTGAAATTATGTTTTTGGAACACGAGTATGTATGTATATATATATGTATGTATGTATGTATGTACATATATATATATGTATGTATGTATGTATGTATGTATACAGTATATAGATAGTATTGCACAATAATATACATCTATATGTGTATATATATATAACATTTCACAACAAGTCCTTATTGGTTGGGCATGCACCCCACGCACTTGCTAGCTAGCCTTTCAAATATTATCTTTGAATCTGAGAATGAACCATCTCGTGAGGCCAAGCGTTGCTTCGCGCGGCTGCCCGAGAGTGAAAAGGCGAGGGTAAGGGATTTCAAGTATACCTGGACAAACATGGTTAAATCCACAGACATACATATATACTGTATATATACTGTATATATACTGTGTATATATATATATATATTATAATGGTTAATAATGTATACATTAATAAATATTAATATATACATGGATTTCCTATGTTTATATCTTGTCTTATTCTTGGTTTGGGTTTTATTTTGTTGCTACCATCCTTGTGTTCTTTGACTTTCTCGCTCGATTCATATTTTGGGTAGGTTTTAACTCATTATATAATCAGACTATGATAATGAAGCTCCCAAAGACAGATTCAAAGTATTCATTTAGTATCTAGTAGGGAACAACTGTAGGAAACAACTGTAGGGAACAACTTGCCCATCAACAAGGCGGTCTCCCTAGTTATGTGTGTTAGTTTATAGATTTTCTGTTTAACTGTCCAACCATATTGAACCCATCTAACTGTACTGATTGCATCACCATAGGCCCAAGAGTTAAGCGATTGTTTTTTCCAACCGACTTAGCGATTCCAAACTCGGGCACGCACCACCGTGAATATCGTTGATTAGTTATATCTCTGTAGATCCCATTACTATTCATATTCCGTTAATTTGCCGATAGTGTCCCTTGGTGTTTTTTCAGTAGCCAGATGACTGAGTTTGGCTGGGAGTGTACAGATTTAGAGAAATACACATTGCCTAGCCTAGAAGCGAGATTGAGCTTCGTATATGTATCCAAAGGAGTTCAGTCAACCAATAGTTTATGCATGTTCCATTAACATGCCAATGCAAAGGTACATTAACCATCAGAAATAATGATCTACTTACCCTCTGGTAAATAAACATAGACCCTGAAATTCACCAATGTTTAATGGAAACTAGTCTTCCAACCCCGTTTTCTGCCAGGGTCCAACTGTTGATTTACCAGAGGGTAGTATATATTCCAACAATATGGGGATGGGTCAAGTTATGAACTTACCATGTGACTGGATAAATAGCAGTCCAGCTATACCATCTACAACTTGGGATACCTAGGGTACCAAGGTTTTGACCCACAACATCAACCAGATCCTCTGCTTCCCCAGGCTGCGTGGTCCGAGGCTCGTGCTGAGCAACAGCAACGGATTGAGGCGGGTAGCCAGGACAAAACTTGGCATTTCACGTGATTTGACCAACAAATCGGGGCAAATTAGTGACCTCACTGTGACCGAACCTAGGAATCACAGGTCATGTGAAATATTGTGGTTTACCGAGAACAAAGATTTTAAGCGTTTTAATCACTCAACATATGAGATCATAAATGAGGATGTAGACTGATAAATGATCGTTGGTTGATGATTCTTTTCTGGGTTATATACTCTCTGTTGTATTAGTTGGGGGTTGTCATCATCCATAAATTGGGAATCCCCTGCTTCAGCCAGCATACTGACGGGCTTTTGAACAGTATTCATTTGGGACACCACACGTGACAGTTTTGTTGGACATACTCTCCTGCTCTGTCTTGTGAAATCTCTGCTCCTCAAATCTGAAGTTTGGTTGCCATCCATTTCTTGACAGGTGCATCTCTAGATAGTTGCTGTTTTATATACCCTCCGGTTATTTAACATAGCCACGGAAAATGGCCCATTTATAGATGGTTTACCTATTGAAAATGAATAAGCATGGTGATTTTCCTTGGCTATGTTAAATAACCAGATGGTATTCTTGTGGTGATTGGTTCAACTCCTATTTTCGAAGCCCGGCTTAGCGTTTTTTTTTTTAATGGTTGTATGCTTTCATGAGTGGCTATAAAGGCACTTCCATTTCCCAGAATGGGGTTTCACAGCAAACAATAGATACAGCGTTTCCCTCCACTATTTGGTTGATAAGAGCCATTCAAAGTAATTCAATGCCACTAGAACTCATTAGAACAAAAGCAAACACCATTAACAACTCATTTGCAACTCATTGCTTATTATATAACAATTCATTGCTTAATTAACACCATTAAATATCAACAACTCATTATCAATTGCTTCCGGTTAGATTGCCCCTTACAGACAACTATTCCCCAGCCGCGAGGCTCTACTGGAGCAATTGAGGCCCTGGAGACATCAAGCTAAGGAGACGCTGGTGTTTTTAAGCACCTGAGGCCAAAATCATCCTAAAAGAATTGTCAATATAGTGTTTGTTCCATATTGTTTGGATCAGAAACTATTTTTGTTTAAAGTGTCTAAGCCCAAGTCCGTGTTGATTGTGCATGTAACTTACATTTATATACCCACGAGATGTCGATAAGCTACCTGCATCTTTGCACTTGGCCGAATTCCGTCGATTCTTCTAACAGAGAAACAAGTTGGGAGTTCACAGATGTTGATGTTGCTTGTCCTTTGTTTAGAAAGGTGATCCCAACTGATCTCTCCTATCTTGCGCAGTGTGTGAGACCAGCATAAATCAAACCTGGAAAGCTTTGGCTCAAGAGTCTTGTCACCAAAATGCAGTGTTTCGGGATAACAAGATAACCACTGACCAATATATATATATATATGATACATTATTATCATAAAATTTTTAGTATATTTATTATATTATATTATATTTTTTTATTTTATATTATATATACAATATTTATATATATATTTATATTTATTATATTATATGTATATATATATATATCATATATATATATATGTTATAGACATATATTTTATATTGTATTATATATTGTATTATATATTTCACATATATATTATATTCTAATATATGTTTATTATAATAAGTATATATATATATTGTACATATTGTACACACTGTATACAGCAATGCCATATGTCTTGCAACATCCAGGGGCTTGTCACATCTATCCAAGGGTTGAAATAAGTATGAGTTCGACACACCAATTGATGGGTTGGAGTCATCCATCAGCAAGTGTATGGCTCATAATGTTGGCGTAAAAGGTCATTTGTATTGGTATACCATGATAACTCTTCGGCAACTTCACATGTATATTATATATACATATATCCATATTATATATATATCCATATATATATATGTATATGGAAAACATGGAACAATTCCACCATTCATAGATCATTTCCTAGGGAAACGTACTTGAAGCCAGCTGCCATGGCTCCCAAGAAGCGACCAGCAGCAGCGGAGGAGTCGGTCAACCCAAGAGTTGGGTATAGCAGACATAGCGACAATAAGATCCGACCTACTGGAATCAACTGCAATGGCATAGCGACACATATATATATATATATATATGCTATATATATATGTGGGTAAATTATAACGACCTCACTGCGACCTCACTGGAAATATGTTTAATAAGGGAAAATGATCCCCAAATGGCCTTAATTCAGGTTGGTGAAATATTATAATTTACCCAGATATATGAATATAAATATATATATATATATACATATCATATCTTGTTCACGTTTTTTTTTGCTTACTCAAGGTATCTATAGGGTAATTTCCATAGATGAAGAGAATATCATGCCCAGCTGTCAAAATTGAGAGGTGTCTACCAATTATAGGCATGATCAGGAATTGTGCGTGCGCGTCCCAAACTTTCACAATCCCGAGGTGACATATTGATTATTGCTACAAAAAATACCACTTCTAGTTGATGTGCAGGTATTCCTAAGTTTGACATGATCGCCAAAAAAGGTTTACATCACAACTCTATGACTATAACCCAGCAGACTCAATAGGTATGTCCAGGTTTTTAGTGCGATGTCCAGGTTTTCCCGTTGCTTCCGGTCGTTCCATAGTCCGTTACTTCCGTTGCTGAGCCGCCCAGGCCGAAAGCAGCGGATCCAGAGGGCCCAGGTCCGGAAGTTTGGGATCTGAGCAACCCGTCCCTTGGACTTGACGCCTGCGAGATGGTTGGATCCTTTTCGGATTGGATCGGGATTGACCCATACCTGGAAAATGGATGAAAATGGGATATAAATACGGTAGAACCATGAAACATGGGGATTCAAGATGATTTAAGCACTTTTAAACACTAGATATTTGGAGTATTTGGAGGTTCAGCCCCTAGATTGTTGAGTAGGTTATGTCCCTGCTTTTGTTCGGGGGATAGTGTAAATCCACTTGTCAACTAACATGTGATGCTGTAACCTACTTAGTAAGCATGATGAACCACTAAGTAGAAAAAGGTGAACGAGATTGGATGAAAATGGAGGCAATGTTTGAGTAGCAATGATTTAACGTTCAGTGGCTTTGGTTACAACCGTGTCACCACGTGATGTTCCGCTGCGGAACGGATATTCTCTGAATTCATGGATCCTTGAGGTGTGTTGAGGTGTTTTATCCTATGCCAACCATCAAGACACTGCGCCGTTGATTCCCAGGAATGGAATCAGATGTGTCAGTGGCCAGTCTTTTTGATGTTCTTTGGTGAGATCCTTGGGGTATGATCAATGATTGTGCGGAATCATAGATCCAAGGTGCAAGTCTTGGGGTACCTGCAAGATAGTGAGAAGTTGCCATTGAAATTAGGGTACCTCCATCATCCCCCTATTAAAAAGCTGGGGAGTTATTCCTGGATTAAACATACTCTCTGGTAAACGTTTGCATAACCATGGAAAATCACATAAATCACCATCTTTCATGGGTAAATCAACTATTTCTATGGCCATGTTCAAGAGCAAACTGTCACAAATTACCAGAGAGTACATTTGTCCATTAATATCCCCATGGTTGTTGGTTATATCATGTTGTATCCCTATTAATCACCATTGATATCTCATTACCAAAGGGTACACCCCCCATCTTCACCGTATGCGTTGCTGACCTCCTTTCTTCGGTAACCCAGGCAGGTTTGGCTCGGAGGTTGTGGCAACACCGCGACGGATCCTGCGCACGTGGCCAAGGTGGTGCCCAAGAAGAAGGGACTGTCACTGAACAGAAACCGATGGGATTCAGCATGACACATGGGCAGTTCATCAAGGAAGATGTTAACATGATGATTGAATTAATTGAGAGCTATAATGATTGGATAATTGGGATATGTATATAAACAAATATGTATATATGTTTAAGATTATTTAATAATATGTATATATATATATATGTGTTTTAGTTAAGTGTATATATATATACTATAAATAAAGAAATGCATAAATAAGTAAATAAATATATTAATCTAATTTACTATATGATGTACTATATATACATATATACATATTTACATAGTATACACACATATATATATAGTGTATATATATATATATATAGTGTATATATATATATACTGTATATACTATGTATATATACTATATAATATATACTGTATGTACTATGTATATATTCTATGTATATAAACTATATATACAAACAATATACACTGTATGACTATTTTTATATATATACACCATGTGTATATATATATATATATACACACGCCATATTTATATATATATATACATATATATATATGGTGTGTGTGTATATATATACACACCATAAATATATATATATATATATTTATGATGCTGCCTCCCAGCCCCCCCCCTCCCCCCCCAATGGGTATGGGTATACTGGAGCTATATTCCCCGCCCCCCCCTGTGGGTGGGTGGGGGGGGTTAGTAGTAGCAGTAGTAGTAGTAGTAGTAGTAGCAGTAGTAGTTGTACTAGTTGTTGTTGTTGTAGTAGTTGTAGTTAGTCGTACTGAGTAGTAGTTAGTAATTAGTAGGAATGGGTATGGATATACAGGAGCTATGTTCCCCGCCCCCCCTGTGGGTGGGTAGGGTGGTGGGGGGGTTTAGTAGTAGTTAGTAGTAGTTAGTAGTAGGAATGGGTACGGATATACAGGAACTATGTTCCCCGCTCCCCCTGTGGGTGGGTAGGGGGGTGGGGGGGTTAGTAGTAGTATGTAGTAGTGAGTAGTAGTTAGTAGTAGTTAGTAGTAGGAATGGGTATGGATATACAGTAGCTATGTTCCCCACCCCCCCCTGTGGGTGGGTAGGGGGGTAGGGGGGTCAGTAGTAGTTAGTAGTATCTAGTAGTGAGTAGTAGGAATGGGTATGGATATACAGGAGGTATGTTTCCCGCCCCCCCCCCTGTGGTGTGGGTGGGGTGTGGTACTGCCTTTTTATATATATACATATATATATATATATATGTATATATGTATAAATATGTATATATATATGCTTTTATATGTATATATATATATGTATGTATGTGTGCATATATATATGATTGTATGTATGTATGTAATGTAATGTAATGTAATGTAATGTACTGTAATGTACTGTACTGTAATGTAATGTAATGTAATGTAATGTATGTATGTATGTGTACATATATATATACATATATGAATACATGTATATATGTGTAAATATAAATGTATATTTAAATACAAATATGAAAAAAATATATATATATATATATTTATATATGTATGTATCTACGACATTTATAGGAAGTAGATATAGCACATGTATATATGACTATAGGTAGCACGTAGGTACTTTGAGGGAGTATGTGTGCTACGTAGGTCGTCTAAAGGGTAGCATGTACCTAGTAAATGGGAGGCTGGTAGTCAGAATCGCTGCAAAAACCTAGCAAATACGAGGCTGGACCTCAGAAATGCTGCCAATAGCTTGCAAATAGAAGGGAACGGGGGTGCTACCTGGAGACCCATCCCATTCGGGGGGGGGGGCCTCGCGGGCGGAAGACGGGATCATATATATATATATATAAAACATAAACAAAGATATTGTGGGATTGAATTTGTGTGAACAACGGGATCTAATTTACCCTCCGTTGTAACAATTTCCATTTTTTGTGGGATGAGGAAAAGGAGGATAATCCTCTGAATGTTGGACACCCTATTTTCGGACAGACCCAGATATATCAATAGAAACATCTTATGTGTATACATTCTATCTATGACAGTGACTTTGGCATTCTCCTGGCGTCTCCGCAAAACCCCATAGGCTGTATCAATTGGTTTGAACATCCACGAACCTTTTTCTTTCACAGGTGATTGCACACCGCATACTAAGCTGTACTCACAAGTTACTCAGACAATTTTTTTTGGACACGACTTGTTTGCAAACCTAAGGGCAGCTTGGCACTTAGGACAGTTGCTGGCACTCTATTCAAGGCTTGTCCCGGCAATTACCAATGCGTGATGCTGTCAAAAGCAGTCTTCAAGAATCCTGGAGACAAAGTTTCTCGCTTTTCCTTTGGCCTTAACACTTGTCTCCTTTCAAGGTTGATTTGGGGTTGGGTCAAACATGTCAAAGTTTTTCAAGGCCTACTGTCTGATTATAATTATTATGTATGATGGTTTCACAATTGAATCAGTTCCATGTTTTTTTGGAATGCCTGCTTCTGAGCAAACCCAGCCAATTGGATGCAGACCGACAAAGCGACTACGCTATCTACAGATTCATAGCAACAAAATTAGGGACCCAACTTCCATTCCATCCATTGCAAGATAAATTTTGTGATTCGTACCCTTGGAGAGATCGGGTAGGTCAGTCCTGAGATTGAAATTCATCAAGTTGACACCAATGACCTCATGTTGTGTCGGCCGCACTGAGGTTAGAGTCAAGGTGACCTTGATTACAAGCTTGAAGAAGTTTGACTACTACGCTACTCAGCATGGATCAGCATGGCAGTGAGCATTGTCCTGTCGCATGAGATTTTGCGACATAACCAGTCTTTACACGACTGAAGGGTTCCAAATGATTCCAATGTGAATCCAGCATATAGTCCTTGTAAATCAGGGCCATGTGGAAATGACAGTTTGTCGCAGGACAAGTGACCTTCCAAAGTAGTACTCTTTAGTTTGGTCAAGCTTCTTAAGAACATCCCACTGGACATTTTCCAACTATAATATAGGTCCAACAATGCCTTCTACAGTGTATCAATGTATACTCAGTATACTCCTTTTTTTCGCATTGATCGAAACAATCCCTAAAAACTACTAGACCCTCAATGTACCAATTACCACAACATCTTTACCCCATGATTAAAAACAAAAAGTCAACCGAGGGTCCAGGTACATATACAGTGCGGGGCTCCCAAGCTAATTGAGTTCTGTTGGAATTTTGCTGGAGATTAAAACTACAGTTGAATTATGTAACTGGGGCAGGGCAACTTTGTGTGATTATTCCATGAAATAATCCCATAACATCATACAAAATCATATAAACATTACAAGATGTCATAGATTGTCATAGCAAAATCACCATTTTTTCTTTTCGTTTTCTCCATAAATTTATTTTGTGCCAAACCAAAAAATCTTCCTGACCTTTCTACACCAGGTCGGCATCATCGGTCATCGTGGCATTGGAACCTGGTCTGATGAAGTACACTTCTGCCTGTCGGGAGGCGGGGCTCAGGTGCTGCTTGGAGTTCAAAACTGTGGATTTTACCAACAGAAACGGTGCTTTGGTGGGATTTCATAGTGATTTCATGGTGTTTACATTCGAAGAACATGGAGGTTAATAAAGATGAAGAGTCAAGAACCAGAAGTCAGGATTGAACGTATCAACAAACACTTGGAATTGGCGTTTGAATTACGATAGGTCAGCTGGTTTTCACAACCAGCCACTCTTCGATGGGTTGACATGCTAGACCGCTAGATATCTCATTCCAGCAAGGTGAAGAAATGAAGTGACTTGCAATTGGTGGAACCCATGCAGTATCCTCGGAACCTATCTAAAATCTAAACGGGTTGCTAAACAGATCAAAACGGGTTTGACCGTTGATGAAGCAACATAAATGAACCAACCGTATCTGAGCAACCAAAGAAAACGGAATGTCGCCTAGATTGGGATTTCTCCGCAAGGCCGTGGGGAATTCTGCTTTGTGTCACAGAAGTACAAAGATGCAGACTTCGGCAGTGTCTTGGAGTGATAAACTGGTTGCAGGTTTGGAAAGATCTGAGAAATCTTGAGGGAAAACATGGGAATACTTGAAATGAATAGGAATATAAGGGAACAAATATATATATATATATCACATAATTATATATATATATTTATACATATGAAGGTTTAAATCCTAAGTTTGGGGTTGAACATGGACTCAGTAAACCGTTTTTAGATGTTTGGGGCTGTCAGCCAGAAGGATAGTGTTTTTTTTTGTGTTTGCTGTTTGCTGGATGTAACTGTTGAGCTGTTGGGGGATATGTGGGGATGTGATCAGTAGGATCCACGTTATTTAATTCCTGTGCGCTGGCATTGGAAAGGTTGGTGTTTTCGTTGTGTGTCTCTTTGACTGGCGGCCAGTTTTCTGTAAAACCACCAACCAATGGCTGTGGCTGCGGTGCAAAATTTGGCGTCGACCAATGATATTCCAAATTGCCAAGGTTGAAGATGAACCCAAATGCCCAAATGCCCATGTTCCTTCCATTTGTTTGGTGTTCCTTATGCGTTTTCAGAGGTGTACAGCCCCGTTTTGGGAGTTGACATTTCCATGTGAGAATCAGGTAAAGGTTGGGATTCAGGTAAAGGTTATTTGAAAACAATTACTAAAAATTCATGGAAGATCATAGAAGTACAATTTGCCAGGACAATTTAGGTGGCACCAACAAATTGTAGTTTTCATGGCAATAACGTGAAATAACATATTCCTTGAAGCTCAATTGACCCATAAAACTTGATAATTGCTGATCATTTTATCACTTGGTCAATTTGTTTCGCCATGTTCAATCGTCGAGGTCAAGCCAGAACAGCCGGTCAATGCCCCAGTTATATTAATGGACTATTTCCACTTGTGAGACCATTTACGATTCCTAACGATTCATCATGTTAATGGGATTTAACGGGGCTAAATCCTAATAATGATATACCATTAATGATATTTAAATGGGCTATACTATATTAATGTGTTGTTTGCTTATTTTATTGTTTCCTATCCATTTATAAAGCCATTCGCCAGGGAAATCTAGGCCCAGTTGACGACCACGAGTCACTCGCCTCGCAGGTCAAGGTAGTTCAGGAATGCCAGCTCTGGATGTTGGAGACGAGGTGCCCTGCGCAGCGTGTTGTGTTTACAAACAGAGCTATCGAAAAAATACATGGTCCATCTGTAGCTGGTTGGTGGTTTGGAACATTTGTTATTTTCCATATATTGGGCATATTAGGAATAGTAACCCCAACTGACTAATATTTTTCAGAGGGGTAGGTATACCACCAACCAGGTAGATGTTTTATGGAAAAAGTGTCAATCTATAGATGTTTGATGATATTTGACCTGTTGTAAGTGGGTCAATCCTACTTAGTTATTTTAGCGTGTTGTGTGTGCACATAAGTGGATTGAATATAACGCTACTTATACCACTATATTCATCATCAATTTTCATGGATTTCAGCAGGTGTTATTCTGCGATGATTGGGGAGGGAAACCCTCAACAAGCCTTGCACATACTAGACTATATTTTGTACACATATACATTTACATGTGAAATGTGATGTAAGAAACACGCACACAAATATCACATAAGCTCGGCACGTCCCACCATGTGGGACTGAAACCGAAAGAATAAATACAAGACACATCTTGTTCCATTTGTTGAGCTGCGTTTGGTTGTGACATGTTGACTGAAGCTGCCATGATGCCCACTGGAATTATTGCCACAGATTTGGATGGTCAATCACCAGGTGTGATATGGCTTGGCCACGGTGGTGTTCCGCTGCTCTTGGTTACAAATCAGCCACTGATGCCACCTTCAAATTGAGATGTTCAACTAACAGGAAGACAGCACCGAGTAATTAGCACCCAAAACTGCTTTGTTGTGATCACAACAAACTGTTTTTATTTGTCCGAATTGCTCGGACTGACCTCCTCAAGGTGATAATGTCCTTGACCATTGGTGAAGAAGAGGAGAGACCCAGGATTCAACCAGGCTCTAGGCCAGCGGCTGTTTCCACAGCAGGTTCGAAATGTTTACCACGGAAAACCAAAATTGGGATCTACGGCTGATGTTTTTGCCAAAGGTGATTCCATGCTTGCGCTACAGCGGTAAATTTCGAGGGTGTTACAACGTGTAACGCCGTTATCGCAGGATTCTTTGAATTTTATTATCAACGACGAGGACGGTTGCGCACATTGTGGCAGGGTGAACATATCGGCGTTGATGGTGAAAGTCCAGTGACCCAAAATGACCGACCAAGCCCCTTCGATCATGGTGTGCGTTTTGGGGGAAAACAATCATTGATGTGGTGAACCCCATGTGAAAAACCATCCCCAATTTGGGTTTATGACATTGGGTATAGCCCTTTCCTAGCAATGGGATGATTTAAAAGGACCCCACTAATGGATGGCTTCTAGGAAGGTTTAAATTTGGGTTTACCACATTAATTTCATGGATGAAGTCAGATTTGGGAGTATCTATTACATTTAGTATATTTATATGATTATATGTATATATATATATTATATACGAGTATATATACATAATAAATAATATGTATATATATATAATTATATATATGGTTAGCGCCCCCCATAACCCGCAACTCTGTATATAGAATCTGACGGGACTCGCACTCCGGAGTCGGACTTTGAGTACGACTCACAATTCTGGGAGCGCTTTGGCGCAATTAAACATTCTATATTCTTTGTTCCCGCTTTCGGCTTCGATTCTTAAATTGCATTGCATAGTGCTGCATACATCACGCTGCTTCTTGTCGTTAGGTTCCTCCATCCCGCGATCTGTCTTCGCAGTCACCTCAAATCTTGGCGCCGGAGCGAGGATGTTCTCGCAGCCGTCGGCGTGTCCAGCCTGGGAACCCTCCCGGACTCCCACCCCCTACTCCTCCGGATGTCTCACCCCATATCCATTTTTTTGTGCCCATGACACCGCCGGAGTTGGTGGACCCATCACCAGGCACACCAGAGAGCCAATAGCAACCATTGTCTTTCAGAAAACAAGACAACATTGGATGGCAATACTTTCAATACAACGTCAACACATTCCTGTTCCCATCTTTTCTGTAAGACACTTGTCTTTCTAGTGTTTTTTGCTGTGGCACATGCAGCACTCGCATGTTAAGACCTGAACGACTATTCCCGGAGAAAGCGAAAAGAAGCCCAAACTGCGGGTCATGGGTGGGCGGTGAGCATATATATATATTATTATATATTATTTTTTATATATATAAATATGTATATTATTGTTTTTCTTTTACTATTATTTTTGTTATTACTATTATTTTTTATTACTATCATTATCATTATTGTTATTATATTTGTTTTCATTTTTGTTATTATCATTTTTCCCCACCTGCCAGGTGAGGGTTGTTAGATTTTATCAGAGCGCTCTTCCTCCGCGTCCTCGTCCTCCTCCTCGTCCTCCTCCTTTTCCTCGACTAGCTGTCCTCTTCCTCCTCGTCCTCCTCCTCGCCTCCTCCTCCAGTTTCTCCTCGACCATGTCTGCATCAACTTCCACCTGCACACTTCCGCCTTGCCAACTCTTCGCCAAGCTCTTTGCCAACTCTCTTCGCCGACTCTCTGCGCCAAGCTCTTTGCCAACTTCCCAGCTCAGTGTGCACCGCTGGACCTCAACCTTGGACCTTCCCAGCTCAGTGTGCACCGCTGGACCTCAACCTGGGACCTGCCCAGCTCAGTGTGCACCGCTGGACCTCAACCGGGGACCTGCCCAGCTCAGTGTGCACCGCTGGACCTCAACCTGGGACCTGCCCAGCTCAGTGTGCACCGCTGGACCTCAACGGCCAGATAGAATGCCAGAAGAGATGGCAGATAGAATGTCAGATAGAATGCCAGAAGATATGCCAGATAAAATGCCATGATATATGCCAGATAAAATGCCATAAGATATGCCAGATAGAATGCCAGAAGATATGCCAGATAGAATGCCAGAAGATATGCTAGAACATATGCCAGAAGATATGCCAGATAGAATGCCAGAAGGATGCCAGATAGAATGTCAGATAGAATGAATGCCACAAGATATGCCAGATAGAATGCCAGAAGATTTGCCAGATAATATGCCAGAAGATATGCCAGATAGAATGCCAGATAGAATGCCAGAAGATATGCCAGAACATATGCCAGAAGATATGCCAGATAGAATGCCAGAAGATATGCCAGAACATATGCCAGAAGATATGCCAGATAGAATGCCAGAAGATGTCAGAATAGATGCCAGAAGATATGCCAGATAGAATGCCAGATAGAATGCCAGAAGATATGTCAGATAGAATGCCAGATAGAATGCCGGAAGATGTCAGAATAGATGCCAGAAGATATGCCAGATAGAATGCCAGATAGAATGCCAGAAGATATGCCAGAACATGTGCCAGAAGATATGCCAGAACATATGCCAGAAGATATGCCAGATAGAACAGAAGATATGTCAGATAGAATGCCAGAAGATATGCCAGATAGATTGCCAGAAGATATGCCAGATAGAATGCCAGAAGATATGCTAGAACATATGCCAGAAGATATGCCAGATAGAATGCCAGAAGATATGTCAGATAGAATGTCAGAAGATTTGTGAGTAACAAAATGTATAAATGTCATGGTGGGGATCACACGAAGTAAAGTAATTATTGTTATTATTCCCCTATATATCATAACTCCATGCAAGCTTAGCGCATCACTCTTCCTGCTAGACTGGAAGGGTACCTTGTGCTCCTCACCGCCGGACCACGCAAGGGTCAGTACTGAGCACTGATCAAAATTTTAGGTGCATCCCAGTCGTATGCGCTTAATACATGTATATACCAACGATACAATCCAGCTACAGGTGGAATAACCCCCAGTTTGGGTTCTCAAACACTTGATGAGATGCACATCCTGAGCACTTGCCATCCAAGATCTTCGGCATTCTCTACCCTAGGAGGCGACGCATCCAGTGATCCTAAAGACCTTCGCCAATCTTCGGCAAAAAGCTTCTGCCAGTGGCCCTTGGGAGGGCTGGCGCTTGTTCATCGGTCTCACGGGCGCCACCTGTGCGGTGGAGATGTTGACGTGACCCGAGGGCTCTGGTGTCTTTTCTTCATGGATTTGTGCAGCAAAAACCCGGTGATTTCACGGGGTTTGCCAGGAGAAATGGCGATTTTGGATGATTTGGGATGATAGCTGTTGGACATGGGGCATTTGGGTATTTCAGACCTTCCCTGGATCAGGGCAGCCTGATTGCTGAATGTGGGTTGCACAATTTCATGACTATTTTGGGACAACTGTATCAACTACATAGCGCAGATGTGTCACAAAGAGCTCATCCAAATTGTATAATAAAGTGCAATGACTAATGCACGTCACAGAGGTTTACATGCAAAAATATCTGCCAAATACGTCCAAATACAGGGTACATGCTGCAGGCTGCAGATCCTGCACACACCGGGTTCGAGGGACATCCAAATCTTTAACTTTGAGCAGAACTCGGCGTTTGGGTCATTCCCTGACATTACTGCCCGCCCCCCCACAGACCCTGATTTTTGATGTGGTAATTTTGAGGTTGCGCATGATATAGCGGGGTCTATCATTCGGGGAATTCGATTAATGTTCACCCCGGTCTAATCAACCCCTGGGCCCTGGGCTGTTCAATTAGTACCCTTTCAGTATATAGCAGATTGACACTATTGGGGGGTAAGCTCCAATTCGTCAACCAGGGTTTATTCATCCGGGTTGGCACCAATTGCCCTAAATTGCAGTCTCTGTTTGACATTCAGCTGTGTTGGAAGAGCACAGCAGGGATGATGCACAGTTTGTTGCTGCGCCATTTGTTTCCGCGCAATGTGCCGTGTCACTCCGTCTAATCGATTGAAGAAGTTGCAGAGTGAAAAAGGATGTCGGTATATTTTGGGCAGGTTCGAAGAGAATGAGACACAGAGCTGACTATGTTTGTCCAACTGTGATGAGATATTCTGCTCCACCAAAACCCGAACGAACTGCCGTGCTGAAGGTTGACAAAAGGACGACCCTGCCGAAAGCAATACGTGAGCATGAGCCCAATCACTCAGGATGTTTTACTGATTGATTCTAATTGTCACTAGTTACTGATTTTTCCAGTTTTTTTGCCTAAATGTCCTCATTGTTCAAGGTCCTGTCTTCACATCATTATTGACTCAGCCATGATTCCCGTCCCAACTTCAATTTTATTTGTCAATTACTGATACTAGAACGAATGATGATTATGTATTGTGTGCTAGTACTAGTGTTTGTGTGTGTCTAAATTATCTATAATGTATACTATGTTTATAATATATATATATATATAAGTCTTTAATTTTAATGTCAATGTTTGCCACGACTTCCAGACCTTATGTAATGTCAACCCTGGATTGCTAAACCCCAAACGGCGCCAAAAAGGAGCTCCGTCGTCGGGGTGACGCCACACAGCAACGGATGGAGGCGAAGTGCCAGGAAAAGAGGGCCCAGAGCCAGGCGAAACTGGCGGCGAAACTCGGTGGGCTTGGAAAACCCATGGGAGTTTAATAGGGATTTGGTGGTGTAACGTGGGATTTTCATTTGGATGATGTTAGTGATTTTAATGAGAGTTTAATTGGTGATTTGTTCATGCGATTGAAACAATTGTGTAGGGATTTCATCATCAAACGTAATGACTTAACTACTTAAGAGTGGATTTGGGTGTGTGCGAAACTGGTGGATATCCCCTGAAACGATCCAAAATAGTGGATTCCAAGATAGCAAAATCACATTTATCAATTTTTCGGGGTAACCTAACTTCAGACGCATATGTCACTGATAAGTCCAGGGTTTTGTCGGTGAAAATCATGGTTGTTACCGCCAGATATGTCGAAGTTCCCTGTGGGTCTCCTTTCGACCAAGATTGTGCTGCGGGACGATTTGATAAGACACCCACAATGAACATACCATCATACGGGCAACTCCGGGATCACTGGGAGGGATGTGTGTTTTGAGCCAACATTTGATTCGTTGAAGGTGATCATCGACAAAAATTGCTAGGGAACACACATATATAGCAACCCCCAAAAAATAGAAACGTGTTTCCGGGAATAGATGTTGTTTCCATATATTTCCATAATTTTCCCTATATTTCCCACATTTTTCCATCTCTATCGGTTTCCATCTATTTCGGGGGACTATAAAACCATGAGACAGACATTGTTATTTTGATACCTTGCCATGCAGAGCTGTGTCAAAGTGGCATTTCTAAGGCTCAAGAGGGTGACCTAAATTGACCAGTTGGGTTTTTCATGGCCCAGAGATTCTGGGTGTGTCTGGAAATGAGGGATGCCCCAATTTATGGTCTCCTTAGTAGGTAAACCACCACAGACCACTGGATTTTGCGGTAGAATATGGCAAAATCTTGCCCTTAAGATAGAAAGCTAGCATTTATCACTATTTTTCAGCAGGATTTGACTTGTGGAGGTTACAAGAAGTTACTAAAGTTACAGGATTTTACTTCCCGGAAGGGGTTTCCGATGTTCGTACAACCCCCCATTGAAATCTCGCCAGGAGGCCGAGCTGCGAATTTTTGAGCTCCGTGAAGGTGGGGTGGGTACGGAAGTTACCCTCTGGTTATTTAACATAATATAGTACAATATAAATATAAATACAATATATTACAATATAGTTACCAAATATAGTATAAAACCAAATATAGTTTAAATATGGTTACAATATAGTACACTATGATACAATATATAATGATATAGTACAAAAAAGATAGTAAAATAAAACAATTGTGGAAAATCACCATTCAACAAATAGGTAAATCATCATAAATCAGCATAACTTATGATAAATTATCTAATTGGGTATGGGTCAGGTCATTGGGTATCCCCAAAGAAATAGATAGTTAAACCATTAAAATACCAAGAATAATTTAACGTCTGTGGTTCCCTTGAGTCTTAAATTGTGACTCATTAATCTTGAAAAATGTTTCAATATATGTTCCATCCATTTACCATCATTGGACACATATGTTTCGTTTAGGAAACAAACTGTACTGTGTTGTTTTCTGCCCTGGTGTGAGCCTTTGTAACTATATAGAGGAATAATACGTATTGTGCATTATTTAATGTATGTATATATACATATATATATAATACACCGATAGACACACATACATGTATCATATATATATATATTTATTTATTTTACATATAAAGTATATATATAGAATACAACTATATATATATTTATATACAACTACTGTACTATATATATATATATATAACTACTATCCTGCATAGACATCTCAATTTCTGCACATGTTTCAGCAGGTGAAGCCTCGCTGACGGCGGAGCTGCATCAATTGCTGGATCAACTGCGCCCCGAGGTGTGAGTGAAGCGCATCTGAGAGATGGGGTGCTCCAATTATGGCCACTGAATCCTCCATAAAAAATGAAGTTTTGCTGGGATAAAATTGTATTTTCATGGGATATTATAAAATCAATGAATTTATTGGGATGATAATCAATGAACGATATATTTTAGAGGGATGATAGTCTATAAGATGCCAAATTTTCGCGGGATGAAATGGGATGAATCAGTGGGAAAATCATGGAATTCCTCCGGTTAGGGAGCGGTGCGGAGGGGTATTCCTTAAATGGGGAGCCATGGAGTCAGAGTTTCCCAGTCACATGATAGACATGGCCACAATGAAGGTGATTTCAGCAGCGGTTGGTGATTTCTTTAAATGATGAGTTATTCCTGATGATAGATGATCTTGCATGTTGGGATTCATTCAGTGTTTATTTGGGCTCTCTGGTGCGGTTGTGGCCAGGTATTGGTCCTCGTTTTCTATCGTAAACCAGTACTTTTTTGGTATGAAATTGAGTAAAGATGTAGTGACTATCATGATGAATCCTACTAATTCAAATTAAACCCAGATACATCCACAGTCTACAGTTTGTTGCTTGAACACCCATGTTCTTGGCCATTTTTTTTTGGGGGGGGGTTATGATTGGTTACCAGGTTTTCGGAGCTGATTTAAGGAGAGTCGCAGTTGTAGATGTGGTTGAAGAAATTATAAGACCTGGGGAGTTGGGGTCCACACACTGTTTGGGTCGTTTCTTTGCATCAACTATTTCTTTCTCTGGAACACCACTGTTCCTGTAAAAATTGTTTATTCACATATAACCTTAGAATATATTGCATTGGTAAGTTATATTAAGTTAGGGTGCCTCAATTGCATGGAAGTCTCGCAAATGTATTCAAGTCGCGTCATATTTCATAACCTTTGAATTACATAGATCGATATATATATATGTATCATAATACATCTATCATCTATTATGAAAGTTGCTCCACAATTCATAATGTCGGTGCTGTCGAAATTGCCAGGATGACCTCCACCGGCGGCTCGGGACTGGCTTGGCCGCTAAGGACGCTGCAATAGTAGTGGTGGTGGTAGTTGTAGTCGTCGTGGTCGTGGTGGTAGTAGTACTTATTTGTTTATTGTTTCAACTGCATGAAATTTCAAGATACAAAGGAATGTTGTTTCAAGATTGTGTTTAACTGTTGGGTGTTTCCCAATGTGAATTGTTATTCTTTCTGAGTGTTGTTGCAAGTTTTTCAGCATTGAACGTGGTGCTGTGCACATACAATATACTGTCATACGTGTGGAGTAAGCGGCTTGTCATGGGGAGACCCAAACTGGGGATGCAACCCTGTTTCTTCCCAATTTTGGTTGAATACGCATTCTTGTCACCCATGAAATTTCCAATGGAATCCTGGTCTGTGTTGGTGAGTCATATCATATCGCATGTTTGCGAACGAAGTTTCATTTTTTGTTGATAAAATATAGCTTTGTGTGGATCAAGACCTGACAAGAGCTGATAGAATCTGTCTTCTGTTGGTTGAATCAACGTCCAACAAATCCGGACAGGGGAGGTAGCTGAATCCAAAACTCGCGCATGAGGTCTATATATATAATCTATCGCGGCTTCAAACACACTCACGCTAAATGATTCTAGATGATCATTGACAATAGGAATCATCCCAAGGTCCCAAGGATTGTCCAGATTTAATCCCGGTCCCAGTTGTTGATGGTACGTCAGTGTGTCCAAAAAATGCGGTAGACCCTAAAATACTTCTGATTGGAAAAGTAAGAACGCGTTGGAATTAAGAATCATGTTCAGACAAACCTATTTTAGATTATTCATTCGCTCCTCCTGAAAATAGGAACATTTAGGGACCAGTGAAAGATCACATCAACTTGGAACAGTTAAATGCTACCAATGTTTAACATGTGAACCTTGAACAAAAAAAAACATCTAGCAAATCCACAAAAAAAAACATCCCAAATCCCGAGTTGCACATCCAACTTTAACATGGACGCCATATTCATGACCAGATTCTACATCTAGGAGAATTATTTTGGATGTCCATCCCAGACCAGAGGTCAAAAGTTGGATGAGTGGTTCACAAGAATGTTATATATTATTATATGTAAGTCATGGAAAATCTTCATATATACAACTACATGTGGGGGTTTCCTAACATGTACCCCAAAACCATATGTTTCACTACTAAGATGGTCTAATTGTTTGGATGATTTTGGGGCATCCCCATTTTAGGACACCTCTATAATATATGTAAGTACAAGTGTGTTTACATATATATATATACACATACATGGACTACAATATATATATATATACAGTGTATATATATAATTATATATCTATCTACAGGATATGTTCCACTTTTTAAGTGGACTGTGGCCCGCAATCAGAGCCCATTTCTATGTCCATTCGTCCAGGAGAGCGCCCTGGCAGAGGATACCTTGACGGTGCAGGAGTTGCTGGACGCGAAGGCGAGGCCGAAAAGCGGCAAGGAGGGTTGGAATAATTAGAACGTCTGACATTTATTAATTTACTATTCACTTTCGATTTACATCTATCTATACTCTTGTTATTTTCCTTTATTTCTACATCTACTTGTTGTAATCTATGTATTTGTCTATGTATCTATCTATGTATCCATCTATGTATCTAACCTGATCTGAATCTAAATCTGAATATTAATTTTGATCTGAATCTTAATCTAATCTATCTCTCTACCTATACATGCATTGATACAACTATCTATACCGTCTTTGTATATTTATGTGTATATATACTGTAATATATAAGTGTTTTTATGTAGCTACATATTTACATATTATGTGTATATAGTTTTATAGATATGCTTATATAGTGTTCTCTGTGTATATATAATATATATATATGTTTTATTCACAGCTGTATAGGGAAATATACAATCTATATTCATCTATCAGTATCATTTATATCGAAATATTATTGATATAGTGCGTATTTATATATATATGTATGTGTATACACATGCGGTATGTTTGCGGATTGAAACATCTCCTGTCGATTTCTACATCGTATCTGGGGAAGGCTCTTGCTACAATACGCTCTTTGGTGATCAGGTGAAGAGCAGCTCCACAGTTAACCTCTCAATTTTTTGGTTGTCCTCTGTTCTTGAAATTGTGCATGTTCCGTTTTGTTCTCCAGAAAAAAATATACAGTATTTAGTTTTCAGTAGATTGTCTCGCAGGACCCAGCGAATTTCCAGGTTCCCCTCGTTTGTTTTCGGGGGTGTACCCTGATCCCCGACCCAAAAAGGTTGGTAAACATATATATATATAACTACATCCCGTGGTGAATACATCAATTCTTATGGGTAAATTGACGGTCAAGGTAGCTTTTGAGTTTGGTTGACTTGGATTTGCTCAAGGTGATTCTTGATATTTTTCCTATTTGGGGGATCTGTAGGGAGTATATGAGATTATATGAGCTCATATGTTTTTGCGGCCTTTTTAGCAAACCCAAGTTACATAGAGGACCCAACAAAATGAAACCTCAGCGGTGGTTGTCAGGTTGTCATGCAGCAGCGAAATCGCTGTAAGCGACTTGTCTTGAAACCAGGGCCGGGCTGGCCAATGGAGAATGCAGAACCACTGACTGATCCAACAAACATAGGGGTACAACCAATACGAACCAGGGAAAAAGCCAAGTAGATTAGGATTTTAGACGGTTGCCATTGAAGAAACACCATGGTTTATCGGCCAAGTTGATTTCATATTTATGCAACATGATACCATTCTTTCAGGTTTTGGGTGAACCCCCCGCAATGGTTCTGTTGTCAGGACTTTGGTCCATAGCTTCAGTTTACCCACGCAGGGGGAAGCTCCGGACTGGCCGTAAAGCCACATTCACATAGGGATTTCCAAAAATGGAGGGTACCCCGCAATGGATGGTTTATAAAAAATAACCTATTGAAACGGATGATTTGGAAGTACCTCTGTTCTAGGAAACCTCTATTTTTGGACTATCTCCACTCTTGCGAATTTAAAGCAAGTGCTCATAGGTTATATAGCCACTTCTGGCTGGATACCAGTTTTGAGCCCATCAACATAGGGCTATGGCCAAGACATTGGCTTGCAATGGAGCCACCTAATTTGTTTTGTTTGTTATTGAAACATCTAATTTGGGTTTTTGTTATAAAATGGTTTTTCCCTTGAAGAATGACCCAAACACTCACATGATTTTCGCAGGATTGTCCTTGTTAAGACAGCCATAAATTGGTGGGTGGTTCAGCCCACCCAATTTGATCCATACCAAAAATGACACACATTAAAGAATCCAGCTTATCTGGTTGGTGGTTTGGAGCATGTTTTATTTTCCATATATTGGGAAGATTAATCCCAACTGACTAATATTTTTCAGAGGGGTTGAAACCATCAACCAGTTATTGTCTCAAAAAATTGGTCATGGGGAATGGCTCAAAACATCTCACCCCCGAAAGATGGATGCTTTGAGGTCAAACGACAAGCCGTTTCTGGGTCCATTGGTATCCCATTTGGGGTCGCGAAACCTAGTTGCACCTCATGGTGCTGATCCAAATCATTTCCATTTATATCCAGTAGTGTCATATATATATATATATATATATTTGTATTAATATATATATATACATATGTATATATATATGTATATATATATATATATATCGGATTATATCAAATTATATTTCCCTTTCAAAAACAGGGTTGGATTTCTGCTTTGCGTTGCACAAGCACGGTTCGTGAACTCAGAAAGGCAATGTCCTTGACACTTTTTGAGTCATTGACGTGTATCAACTAGTGGAGATACGTTTGAACGTAAAAACAATTCGTGGCCAATAATTGTTTACATATACTCAAAAGATCAGATCCGTATATTTACTGTGGACATTTATCAACTGAATCAATATAAACAATTCTTAACAAATATCTACAATGATTAATCCGTAATATCTCTGAATTATTTACAACTATAAACAATGTTCAGCTGCTGTTGGAGTCGACTAACTTGACAACAGATTGATTAATATATTTTTTTATTGGTTGTATGTTGTTGAATAAGAGAAAACAATCCTTGGTTATATATGTTGTAGGGCTTCGCACATCAGCGATGCCCCGAGGGTTGTGGTTGTGGTTCTTGTTCTTCTTCTTGTTATTGTTCTTCTTCTTGTTGTTGTTCTTGTTCTTGTTAATGTTCTTGTTCTTGTTCTTCTTCTTGTTGTTGTTCTTGTCGTCATTGTTCTTGTTCTTGTTATTGTTACTGTTGTTCCTCGGAGTTGTTGTTCTTGTTCTTGTTATTTTTTTGTTGTTCACAACCTCTCTTCCCTGACGCGCTCCCCCTTGCTGTTGTTCGTGGTTGGCGGATATATACATATCTATATTATATTTATTTAATGTGGTAAACCCAATGCCATTAAACAAAAAACGACTATTTGGGGACGGCTTATACAACCGATAAAAATGGTGATTTGGTGGATGCTTAATGGCATGAAATTTACCACAATCACTAAGATAGATGTGGAAAATCAACCACAATGACCATGTGTAAATTATTTTCCCGGGGAAACACGGGAAACTTTTCCACATGGTTTTTGCGCATTTACCTTCTTAACCCTTTCATGATCCCTAGACGTTGGGGGAAAACAACCTGGCACGGCGGCTTGGTGTGAGGCAAGAGTTCCATGGAAGGCTTCAGGAGCTTCGGGGCACGGAGCGGCAGCAGCAGCAGGAACGGCAACAGGCAAGCAACAAATGGTGGTTGATATGTACAAATCCGCACAGATAACGCCTAGTGAATATGATATATTATATAACTATATATATATAATGATGTGATTTTTGATTTACATGCAATTATATATGTATGTATATTATATGTATAGAATTATATGTGTGCACATATATTCTTTAAGTATGATTAATTTTGGATGCATATATATATATAACATGGAATGATCTAAATTTATATTTAACTAGTTAACTATGTATATATAATTATATACATATATATATATATAGATTGCAGACGTATGCAACCACATGCCGCATGGTGGAGTTTCATTGAATTAGCACACCTCAAGAACAGGTAAGGTCTGTTGTGAAGCGTGGATGTCAATTGATAGTTGCATAGAGGCAGCTTGTGGCATAAGGAGGAATACACATTTACTTCGTTTATTTTGGAGGATATGATAATATGGCGATCCCACACTTCATAGTCATAGTTTAATATATTTAGGGTCGTTGCTGAGGCGCCGGATTTTCCTCCCGGTCAAGTCATCGCATGCTGCACAGACCAGACATGTTGAGATCTAGGTGAATCGCAGCCAGAAAGGTGGTCAATTCGTCATTACTAGCCAATATTCACCAATTGTTGATCATGATTCACAAGTCATAACCATTACTAATCATTGTTAAATGGTGATACTCATTGTCACATCTTTAATCTTACTATCACCCTTACTATCACCATTATTACCCTCTGGTTATTTAACATAGCCATGGAAAATTGCCCATTTATAGATGATTTTCCCATTAAAACCTCTGTTTATAAGGGATTTTCCATGGCTATGTTAAATAGCCAGATGGTAACCATTATCAGCCACTAATGATGAAATACATTCCCGTTTCCACGGGTCCGACGCTCCGGCCAGGTCCTGGAAGACAACGTTCCGCGCGCGCGACAGCTCCACAACAGTTCCGCCTGTCAGTGTTTGGGTGGTGGGGATGGGAGAGGTTTTTTTCATAGGGGGTTAAGACATGTTAATGGTTGATAATGGTGATTGACTGATTCAACTGACTCAGCACGTGTCCAAATTTGAACTTGTTTTTTTTTTGATTGGCTTCGCGCGCAAATGGTTAATAATGCTTGATTAATGGTTGATAATGCTTGATTAATGGTTGATACTGGTAATTCATGGTTCAATGGATGTTTATTAGAACAAGTGGATTCAAATGGTTAACCGTTAAAGAAAGGATGGTTATTGTAATGATGATTAGCGGTTAATAATGATTTGTAATGGTGATAGTTCATGATGGTTTCTGAAATGTGGAATGGTCTCTGAAATGTGAACTGGCAAACTTTGGGGATGGTTTCTGACATGTTTTCACCAAACATGTCTATTGTGATGTGGTAAACCCAGCAATGAACATCCAATGTTGGCAGGCCATTTCTGGTGATATTCATGGTGACTTATGGCTTCGGGATTACCAAGAATTTGGGGGATACTCTGGAAGAAAGAAATCCTGCACCAGTTGATGGTTTATCCCATTATTTATAGGGTTTCAACCATCCGGTTGGTGGTGCAGGATTTCTTCCATCCATAGTATGATGGGATGTGAACCAAACAAAATGGTAATCGCTTATGGATCTTTACCTGGATTCGCTGGGTGATGATGTGTTTTTGAACCACCTACCAAAAGTAATCCACCATGACTGGGGAATTTGTTGGTACCAGCAGTACCGCACAAGGCGGTGGCGGAAGTTTCAAAAATAGGAAACCTATAGGAGAGCTTGGTTGTTGTGAATCCGGGATGGCAGAGCGAAGCCACTGATGGACTGAAAGGTGCTTGATATCTCTCACTCTTTCTCTCTCTTTCTCTCACTATCTACCTACCTACCTATCTATTTTCTATGTATCTATCTATCTATCGATCTTTCTAGTGTAGTGTAATGTATGTAGTGTAGTGTAATTTAGTGTAGCGGTGTGTAGTGGAGTGTAGTGGAGTGTAGTTGTGTAGTTCTGTAGTTGTAGTTGTAGTGTTGTGGAGTGTAGTGTAGTGTAATGTACTGTAGTGTGTGGAGAGTATAGTGTAGTGTAATTTAGTGTAGTGTAGTTTAGTGGAGTGTCTAGTGTAGTGTAATGTAGTGTAGTGTAGTGGAGTGTAGTGCAATGTGGCGTAGCGTATTGTAATTTAATGTAGTGGAGTGTAGTGGAGTGTAGTTGTGTAGTTCTGCAGTTGTAGTTGTAGCGTTGTGTAGTGTAGTGTAATGTACTGTAGTGTAGTGGAGTGTATAGTGTAGTGTAATGACCCGAAGCGAAGCGAAGCGACATCTGAACCTCCAAAAGTGGTCCGAACGCCTAGTGTTTTGTACATTTTGGCTTCGAAATGTGCTTCGCGCCACAACGGCGTGCACTTTGTCAACATCTCAACTTCCAAAAGTGGTCCGAAGCTGCGGGGTTTTGTACATTTTGACTTGGAAATGTGCTTCGCGCCACAACGGCGTGCACTTTTTCGACATCGCAACTTCCAAACGTGGTCCGGAGCTGAGGTGTTTTGTACATTTTGACTTGCAAATGTGCTTCGCGCCATAACGGCGTGCACTTTTTCGACATCTCAACTGCCAAAAGTGGAAGGACCTGGTGTGTTTTGTACATTTTGACTTGGAAATGTGCTTCGCGCCACAAGGGCGTGCACTTTTTCGACATCGCAACTTCCAAAATTTTGACTTGGAAATGTGCTTCGCGCCACAACGGCGTGCACTTTGTCAACATCTCAACTTCCAAAAGTGGTCCGAAGCTGAGGTGTTTTGTACATTTTGACTTGGAAATGTGCTTCGCGCCACAACGGCGTGCACTTTTTCGACATCGCAACTTCCAAAAGTGGTCCGGAGCTGAGGTGTTTTGTACATTTTGACTTGCAAATGTGATTCGCGCCACAACGGCGTGCAATTTTTCATCTCTCTTCTGGCCAGCTGGCTCCGCACCCGCCGCTTTAGCGAGCCTACTTTTCGACCCTCCGGAGCCCCAAATCATTGGAAAAACACAGTGTTTCGCGACTTTCCTACCTTTTCGCGCATCTCCATCTTCTTTCTTCTTACTCTTTCTCTTCCACTCTTCTTTCTTCTAATCTTTCTCTTCTCTCTGCCTCTTCCCCGCTCTGCTTTTCATCTGTCCATACTGTCGGAAGTTTGACTTCTAAACTTCCTTCGAATATACGGTTTATTTTCTTTGTATGGTCCTCGTAAGGAAATCCAGGTTTAACTTATTTTTTTAAAAATACTAAAACATGAAACCATGTACACAATCACAGCGTTTAAAGCAACATTTTGTTTTTTTAGTCATGGTTAATCAATGACCAGTACACGGTGCCTAGTGCGGTGCCGACACGGCCCCCCCAAGGGATGAGAGGATGTTTTTCACGACCTCCTGGGATGGTTAGCTCATGGGATAGTTTTACCCTCTGGCAAACGTTTGCATAGGTATGGAAAGATCCACAGATTTTTTATGGGTAAATCAACTATTTCCATGGGCCATCTATACCATAGCTATGCTAAATTACCAGAGGGTAATAATAATTACTACATATTTTTTTAATGGCATGAAGTAATTCATTCCAATGAATTTATGTTGTACTTTTCATCCAATCTAAGAACCTACAATTTCAGATTTTTTGGGTTGTTTTTTCCTGCACAGAGGGATATGCTTGTCGGGGTCGGGTGGTTCAAGACACACATACTGAGTTGATTTGTGTTGCAACAATTGTTGTGTCAACTGGTAAGTGTAGCCTGATAATTTTGCTGCATTTAAGAACATGTTGATCGCAGAGTCCGAACATAGCCTTGAGATTTTGTTCACATTGTTGATCATTGATGTTCTCCCAAAGAAAAATGTATTCACCCAGCCAATCATGTCGCTGTCGTGGTTGCCGTCTGGTTTCACCTTGCTTAGGCTACCTGAACCTCAAAGGTGGGGCCATCGTCGGAAACCCCTATATTTGCTGGTAAAGACCATGGTTTCCGGTCAAGATTATCCGTAAACCGTCCATACAAAGAAACAGAGACCTTTTTGGTTTGCTGTTCCCAAAGACATATGACCATTGCAATCGTGGACTACAGATTTTTAGAGAGCTCTCGTCTCAAGGATTTGGGGAGACTGGAAACTTTCACAGTGCACACACACACAACGGATAATTGTGTTTGTCCAAAAGTGCTACCCCAAATCCATGTCAATGCCATGCTTTGTCGAGACAAACATGGATCTCTCCTTAGATCCAATTGCGCAAGTCTGCCTTTTGCACGAACGTTTTGATCCCCAGCGGCAAATCAGCTTCCTGCAAGGCAACATCCGGGTCTTCTGCCGCTTTCGGCCACGGCTTAGACATGAAGCGGAGGAAGCCAAGGTTCCCGAAAGTGTTGGGAATTGTGGTTGGTTCCATGTTCCTGTTGGACTTGGAGGGAACACTCACCAACTCAGATCAAGACTTCAGCAGCACCAGCCACATCCAACCACCTCCAACCAGCGTTTTTTAAGAGCAACATTATCGACATCCGTTCGAACGATTTGACAAGACAGATACAAATTCGGAAGCATTTCGATTGATGCCCTGAGTCCTGGAAGACTCCCAATGCTGCTTTGCTAGTTTTGGACCAGTTCAAACACATCTCAAAGTCTGGCACAAACACTACAAGGATGTTCACTCTGGCTTTTTTGACGGATATACCAATATACCTCATGCTCATGCTGTCGGTTTCTCCGTTAAACTTCCAAAGCCAGTCCAGGTAGATGTGATATAAGCATATATAGCCTATAATGTAGCAGTGAACATGGGTCTTTATGCATTTATGATAGGATTTTGTTGGCTTATAACTCATAACTTATAAGTTATAAACCAACATAAAAATAAATATAAGGTTTTTGATTTATGATGGATATATCTAGAATAGAAGGGGTGAGTAAAATTATAAGCCAACAATGAGCGTATTGGAAGATGATGATCAATCTATGTTCACAGGATTTTTTACATACCCGTAAGATCTTTGGATTCCTATGGGATGGATGTCCATAAACATATATAAACATCACAAGGCATGAACGCCATGTTATCTTGACCCAAACGCACAATATCTGCTGATGGCCGGTCTCATTGATTTCGCGGTGCAGGTTGCCTTTCATGATGAGCAGAGAATCAGCCTGCAGTCGGAGATGCTGAAAAGTGTCACAGGTTCCACGTGGGGACCATGGGAATTCCACTCGGAACTGGAAATGGGGAAGTCATGAATACATTTGGATGGAATCTCATATTTACTATCCAAAGTAGAATCAATTTGAGCTAGTGAGCAAATGTCAAAACCAGGGATGCAACTGAAAGCAATGAGTTCTCAAGTTGGGGTGTCCATCTCAAGGCTGAAAGTGCAATCAGTATCCTGGTTTGGCCCGTTTCAAATCCAAATGTTTGCTCTTTGAGTTCGGTTAAAAAAACACACCATTATCTGGATATATCTGGATATTTGAGATGATGGGATTATGTCAGCTTCCTGCTTTCCGACAAATCCCAACTGTTCAAGATGTTTGATGATTAAAGTATGTTAAAGATGTTACATCCATCATCCCTCATTTATTTGCAATGTTTGGTGTCCTGCCGTTACATCTCCAGTCCCAAGCGTCAGCAGGACTGAGTGAGCACTGCAACTCCTACGATTTCCATTTCGACCAAGTTTTTGGACCTCAGGTGAGCTGGCCCGGTGGCACTGCAAAGCGAGAAACGTCTCTCGAGAGTGGAAGTGTTGGTTTTTCCTTCAGATTTTCGATTGATGATTCAAAATCATGGGTCAGTGATTGTGAGTGATGAGTGATGATGGTGATGATGGTGATGATGTAAATGGTGAAATGATGGTGATTATTCACATGATGAGTGATGATAATTATGGATCCAGCTGCGGATTCAACTGAATTCCGAGCTCCACAACAGGCTGATAGGCCATGTAAAAACACCCATAGAAGTGCGCTAAACAGCAGTGTGTTATATTGTTTTATCAGGAAATGCATGTTTTATATTGTGCATGTCACATCATTATAATCGTTTCATATCGTTTCACCCTAAGCTTCCACTTATCCCAGCGAGGTGGAATGTGTGCCATGGTCAAGTTGGATACACTCAGTCCGACTGGGGGTCAACAATCCTTTCTCAAAGGTATTTATATGTGGCTATGGATCAATAGCTATAGGCTATAGATGCAGTTCGGGGATGAACATCCATTTAGCAACTATTTTGGTGTTCACTAGTGGTACAGGGTTTTGACCCATCCTAATATATCCATATGATGTATCCTCTCTATATATATATATACGGTAACGCCATTTAAATATGTGGAGGGCGGGCCAGACCGCGAGGCCCCGAAGGTAGTATGAAATACCAGTTCGTATATTTAAATGTAGTTGTCGTATTTTTAAATGAATTGGATTCCGTATGTTTAAATGGCTGGGCGGGCCAAGGAAAACCTTCCCGGAGGTTGTCTAAAATACCTGTTCGAATATTAAAAGTCTGTATATTTAAATGTAGTTACCGTATATATATATATATTAAATACATATTTATATCTATATGCAAATATATATATGCATATATATATAAATATTTATTTAATATATATATATATATATTTATGTATATTTGCAATAATTATATATATATATATATATTTGCATATATATATGTATTGTATATATATATGCATATATATATATATATTTGCATATATATATATATATGTATTGTATATATATATGCATATATATATATATATATATTTATATTTGCATATATATATTTGCATATATATCATATATATTTATATATAGACATCAGGAATTATCCCCCATATATCCACATGTATCGGGATCATCTTTGGATTTCCATGGGATGACCATGCGCCAGGCGTGTCAGGCGGAGATCTTTGAGGAGCTCTCCTTGTTGGTGCAATCGGCACCTCAGCGGGCGACCGCATGGGTGAACGTTTCATGGGCGATTTCTTTTTGGGCGAACTCAGCGGTAGCATCCGAAATTGCTGGGAAATCACTGTAAATCCGTAAGTACTGGTTATGGCCCGAAATACCAGTTATAAGTACCAACAAAACCCCATTTGTGGAATGTATAATCCCATTGAAATAACCTATTATAACTAATTAATTGCCATAACTGTAGATGTGTATTCAGAGAAGGACTCACCTTTTGAGAAATGCACCCAAAATATCCTACAGATCGAAAGTTCAATGTAACCGAGGAATCTTCATGTTGAGCAGGCTTGTGGATGGGGATGTTCATCCTTTGGTATGTGGCAGCACAATCTTCTGCAGTGTGCAATCACTTCTCAAACACGATTTCACAATTTGGTCTTATTCGCACGCATGATGTGGACATTGGGTGACTTTAGTTACATCATGTTACATCACTTTTGAGGTGAATCTACATATAATCTACATTGAATCCTGATCTGTACAGTTATGGCCCGAAATACCATTTATAAGATGTTTTTTCAGTACTAACAAATTAACAACACCCCATTTCATGGTTTATGTATAACCCATAGGCCCATAACCAGTTATAACCATCATTAATCACTCTTAGCCACTATGAAAACCATTGCTAACCACACATGATCACCATTAATCACTTATAAATGGCCATAACTATATATGGCTTATCGTCATAAGCAGTTATTTCCCCATATTGGTAAAGCATCCCCCAGTCATCGCCATTTTTATGGGTGGTATAAGCATGTATTAACCATATAAACCATGAAACTATGGCCATAACTGTACAGATTACCTGAACTTTTGGGATGCCAAGGCCTTGGATGGCTACAAGGTGGCCATCTTCGCGTACGGCCAGACAGGCGCGAAAATGGGGGATCTCGATGGACGCAGAGGTGATCAGTTGTGCCATCTAAGAAATGTATGTTTATCTATAGTATATAGTCATTAGTCATATATATATGTATACACATATATATATATATATATAAATATACATACTTATATATACATACATATATATATAGATGTATGTATATATATATTATACATACTTAATTATATATATATGTATATATATATATATGTATGTGTATATATTTTATGTATATATATATGTACATATATATATGGTTGTTTTGAGCCCTGATAGGCTTTTGTTGGTCAATTGTTAGACTGTTGGACTGTTAGACCCAAAAACAAGAACTGTCGCCGCATCAGATTCGTCACTTTTTCTGGATTTGTCGGGCCGCAACAGCCAATCTGGTGATGGATCCATGGTGGAGTATCCGGAAGATTGCAGTGCACTCATGTTACTTGTATCAATCATGGTCCTATATTTGTGTAGTTAACAGGAAAATGACTTCTCCAGGGTTCTCCCCCTAAAATCCCGCCAATGACTCAACCCCAGGTGAGTTTCTACCGAAAAGAACCAGCAGCACGTTCGCACGTTCGGCACGTGCTTTTTCGTTGGCAAATTCCGGTTCCCAAATTTCTTCATCATTCCCAGGTTTGGAACAAATATATGGAACCTTAGCCATACAACAAATATATGGAACGCCCCATAACCGGTGTAGGCGGTGTCGGTTCCTCTAGATTTTCCCAAAACCAATCCGTGGACACCCCAGTCTTTTGATTTTTGTTGTTGGTGCCGTGGTCATACCAGTGTTACATCATGGTTTTGCAGTTATATATGCCATGGTGATATTATGTTCATAACATGGTTAAGTTATACCATGTTATACCGAGTTATTGTTCTTGCGGCGGCCAGGCGGTGGGAAGACCTACACCATGGACGGTGACCAGGGTAACCGAAGCGGTGACCGAACGAGTGGTGCTGGCGTCATTCCGCGCAGCGTTGATCTGATCTTCCAGGAGGTGCCTGTTGGGGGATGGGTCAAGTTACACTTATGGCCATGGCATGCCATGGCTATTAGCAGTGAAATGATGGTTATAATGGTTAGTAATGGTTTTCATAGTTGCTAATAGTGATTAATGATGGTTATAAGTGGTTATTTCAAAGGGATTATACATTTCATAAATGGGGTTTTGTTAGTACTTATAACTGAAAGAGGGAAAACCAATCCATTGAATGCCCTTGAAAAACAAGCTATTTTAGGGAACCTTCCTGGCATATTTGGGTTTTGCCCAGGTCGACCCTTGGAACGCCGGTTCTTGGCACAGATGTTCTCCAGTTTGGAATGACAGGATTCATTTTGGAACACCTACACTTACGCGGGCAATGTAGATATTGCGTAGTCCAGGCAAATGTGTTCATGTGTATGTGTCTTCTGCATCAAATTCATGCATATTTGATATTGTAGATATATCAATTCATGATAATGCATACAGAAAGACATTTCCATATTGCTCGGACATGCATACATATAAAGACATGTCCATATTGTACGAAAATGCATACTTGAAGATTTTAATGTATATATGATTTAATACTTATAAAGACATCATATGTTTTTTCCTGCCGCCGTAGGTCGCAGAGTTGCGGAGTAAAGGATGGGACTTTGAGCTGACCTGCACGCTGCTGGAGGCCTGGAGTGGGCTGGGAGATCACGACTCGGAGCGACCATTTTGCTGCTACGGCTGTGGCCCGAAATACCAGGTGAATACCCTCTGGTAAACATACAAATAGCTATTGAAAATGGCCATTTATAGTGGATTTTCCCATTAAGCATGGTGATTTTCCATGGTTATGTTAGTTTACCGGAGCGTAAGTACTAAGTCATTTATGGAATGTGTTTTATCCCATAGAAACAACCAGTTATAACTTATAACTAATAGCCATAACTCTACCCTCATGCAATTCTCGTGGTTAATGTACTATAGAATATAGCCCCATGTGCTTGTTGGGATAAACATCCATGCAGGTCTACAACGAGTCAGTATTTGACCTGCTGGCGCCTCGAGATGCCAAGGACACAGGGGAATTTTGAGTTAGTACACTTTCCAGAGTGAAAGTACGCAATAACAAGATATAACATAACAGTAGATGCAAGCTAAATATATACTACAATATTTAATGTAGTATAATGAAACTACTAGAACATGATACAATATGATATGATATGATATGATACGATATGATATGATACATTATCTAGAAATTATCTAGAAAGTATTAAAAACATGTAGATTATATAATGTGTAGATAAAATATGTATAATATATTTTATATATTAAACTATATAACATAACATAAAACAATATTTGGGACCACTATATAATGGTTGAATTCTTACACATGATATTTAATTTCAAATCTATAAAATGAAATAATGATTGTTTAATTCATAATGTTTTGTTTCTTTGATATGTACTACATATATACATATATAATATACATTGTATAATATCCAGTATATAATGTACAATGTATATATAATATATATATATATATTATATTGTGTATAATATGTAATATATAGGAAATAATATTCAAAATAAGACTGGAAATCAAATTCAATCGGAAGTAAATCTGGATCTAATTCCCCCTCTCCGGCTACCGGACTGTTGGGCACGTACTGAAGGAATTTAATTTGAATTTAATTCTTTGGCTTTGCTGTGTTCTGGTGCCTGATCCTTAATTCTTTTTCTATATTTGTTTCTGAGAGATGTCAGACCAAGAAGTTCGCCGTGGTCGGAAACGGAAGCGATGGGTGCATGTGGCGACGGAATTCTTTTTGGAGAAGGAGACGTTGCGCGAGGGTGCGCCAAGATGGCTTCGTGAAAAGAATTTTAGGCACAGCACTCTGACCGCGACTACTTTTGAAGGCGTTGGTTGGTTTCTGTTTTCCGGGGGCAGGTTGGTGCACCTATGTGCGGGGGTCCGCTTTTTGAGATTTTGGCGGTAGGTGGGGTCGAATTTGCGGACCTCCGCGGGTCGAGATTCGGCAGTTTGCATTTTTGGAGGAAGTTTGGCAGAGTCGCTGTACAACGTTTATTTTTGGAGGAAGCCTTACTTCTTTCACGCCGGGCTTTTTTTTGTTGGCCTGTAAGCAGAAAGCTTTATTGATTCTTCGCAGCTACACCAGATTCCACGGTTCCATGACGGGAGACTGGTTTTGACTGTGTTAGATTCCGCAGTGTTCACGTTCCTGACAAGTTGATCACGCAGTGGATGCTACGTTGGGGTTGGGTTGGGCAGTGTTAACGTTCTTGACAAGTGGATCACGCAGTGGATGCTAGGTTGGGGTGGGGCAGTGTTAACCTTTCGGGCACGTTGATCACGCAGTGTTAAGTTGCTTGCGGGCCCCGTTTCAGAGGGTCATGTAGTTTCGGTTTGGAAGAAGCGTTTTATGACTTGGGGGCATAGTACAAAACGCTTGTTAGGGATAAGGCCTAAAATTATGTGGAAAAACGCTTCTTCCAAAATTCACATTATAGGTTCCCATTTATAATTGGGCACTATACCAGTAGTATTTTGAGGGGATTATCACTTGCACAACCCTTACATAAACCTTATGTATATATATATATATATATAATATGCAGCTTGCGGGACCAACCTCTCTGCGCCGCAGCGCCGCTGCCGTCGAAGACAGGAGCAGGCCAGGGAAGAGAAATATAATATAAGAGAGAAAAAATAGATAATAATAGGTTATAGTGATAAGTGTGGATGGTGGATTTAATTATGCAATTTAACCCATAGCTACAGCCTAATATACTGTAATTATTTGATTTGATAAATCAGATCAGATCAGATCGATTGATTCAGATCATATATATCAGAACGTCGCTTAATTACTAAATTGCATTGCATTGCAATTGCAATTGCAATTTGCAATATACAAGGAGCCCCCCCAAGTTATGTTGAAGTTATGCATGTTATAAATTAAGTTAAGGAAGTTATGTTGAAATTATGTTAAGTTAAGTAAAGTTAAGGGTGGATATAAGTAAGTTATAACTTTGCTATCTTTTTTGTATCTTTTTAGTTTTGCATTTTTTTATTTCGAGGAAAAACGTTGTTTTTAGTTTTTTTTCGTGGAGTTGTCAAATTGCAGCGATTTCACCTCTTTTTTCCGCTTGGCCGGCACGGCAACGGTCAAAGTTGCTAATTGGATGCACTCATGGCAAACATTGCACGCGCATATGAATTTCCCTCCGCACAGACCGCCAGGAGTGAAAAAAAGGAGGGAAAAATTTACAGCAGCGAGTCGTTCGACTGCGCACCCGAAACTCCTGCTTGAGACTGCAAAAGTTGCGCAAAATCTTGTTCCTTTTTCTATAGTCTTCAGTGTTTGTGGCAAAATACATTGGTACATTTGCTTCTGGGGCTTGCAAAGTACAATACACATACGCGTTTCCTTGTCTCTGCAGGAATATACATACGAGTTTTTGGGTTTTCTTTTGCTTTGAAAGCAACATACATACGCGTTTTTCTTTTGCGATGTTATCTCGTGTGAAAAATACGAAAAAATACAAAAAAAGACGTTAAAAATACATTCCCGATATAGCATATCAATCAAGAAAAATACGAGGATAGATGTGAAAATACATATGCGTTGCATGATTCGTCTGGGCAAATACATACGTATCTTTTATTTTTCCCTTTCATTTTCAGAATGCACATACGCGTTTTGTCATATTCCTTGCTAACCTTACTCCCTTGACCTACAGAGCATCTTTTTTTACTCCGAAGCTGTCTCTCGGAGCTCCCTTGCAAGACGTCTTGTGTCAAATACAGCGGAAAGCGTGCCCACTGTTGCATTTGAGCCCGAGGCTGCTCAGAAGCAGCTATTTGAGCCCGAGGCTGCTCAGAAGCAGCTTGAAGCAGACCCGCCCCTTGCATGGCCAAAAAACCCAAAAACCCGAAGAGCTCGCCAAAACTGAGAAGAAACGCTAGATTTGAACCAAACACCGCAAAAGATCCCAAAATGAAGCAAAAATGGCAAACCGAACTAACTTTCAAAAGTTGAAAATAAAAAAGTTAACTTTGCTAACTTTTTTGTATCTTTTTAGTATCTTTCCACTTAAAAGATACAAGTTACCTTTTAAGTTCATAACTAAGATATAAGTTTAACATAAGTTATGGAATTTATAACATGAGATAACCCTAGTTATAACATATGTTAACCCTGGTTATAAGTCAAGTTATAAGTAGGGGGTGCTCCTTGTATCCATATCCCTGTGATATAATAAATGTGAATATAGTTTTAGTTATTATAGTTTTACATGATTGATCGTTCAAACCCTTCATGGCCAACTGGCCAAACCAAATGGCATGGCTGCTTACTGGCGCTGGCGCTGTCGCTGGCGCTGTCGCTGGCGAGCGGGTCGGTGACCCGACTGTGGGCGACTGATTCTCGGCAATAGGGAAAATTTTGATAAGGGATAGTAAATTAAATCTGGGAATTATCGGAATAAGATAAAGATAATTGGTGCTGATTGCATTTCACTTCACTTCACTGGAGCGGCTCGGCAGCATTGCCAGAAAGACGGAGGACTCAGACTCAACGGAGAAAGTCCGCAACCTTGAAGTCATGCTCCACCTGATCAAGGTGGACGTGGCCGACACGCTCGATCGCGAATCGAACCTGCCTGCCCTGCTCACGGCGCCGGCGAACCACACTCTAAAGCCCACGAGCGCCACCGTGGCTTGTGCGCGGTGGATTACGACACCGTCGTGTTGGTGTGGCCCCTTCACATGCTGACCTATGAGGCTATCGCGAAGCTTGACGCTTTTGAACTGCTCTGCTCCACACTTCCATGGAGAAATCCATAAAGATATTGATAAGATGATAAGATCATATTTGGAGCAATCGCAGCCGATGGATGAGGGTGACAAGCATCCGGAAAAAGAGAAGGAGATGGATGAGGGTGACAAGCATCCGGAAAAAGAGAAGGAGATGGATGAGGGTGACAAGGAACCGGAGCAGCCCGTGCTTGAGGGTGAGAAGCAGCCGAAAAATCCCCGTGGCAGACCCAAAAAAAGAACGGCTGAGGATGAGACTAAGGATGAGAAGAGCAAGGCCAAGGACAAAAAAGAAAAGAAGGAGAAACATGAGAAAAAAGATAAGGAGGAAACGAAGAAGGAAAAGAAAGAGTCCAAAAAGAAGTCTGATGACACGTCCAAGCAGCGCAAACTTGCTGGATTTTGTGCACGCTAGCAACAATGGCTGGCACTTGGAGTTGGCAACATGCCAAAAGCATCGCTAGGGGTGGCGGTGAAATGTGAAAAAAAGTGAGTGTGGAAACGGGGTTTTCTTTTTTTGAAGAAGCGTTTTACCGTTTGACATATAAAGGTGTAAAACGCTTGTTGCATTCTGGACCCTCACATGGTAGGTGAAAACGCTTGTTCAGTCCCCGAACCTAACCAACAAGCAACTTAACATCACGCAGTGGATGCTACGTTGGGGTTGGGATGGGGTGGGGTGGGGCAGTGTTAACCTTCCGGACACGTTGATCACGCAGTGGATGCTACGTTGGGGTTGGGGTGAGGTGGGGTGGGGCAGTGTTAACGTTCCGATCACGTTGATCACGCAGTGGATGCTACGTTGGATGCCACTGTGCTGAAACTTCAGTTTTGGAGAAAGTTAGGCAAAGTAGGAAAATATTGTTTGAATTCACCATGTAAAGGCTGCTTCTAACTCAAGCTTTGTTTTGTGGCAGGGAAGAGTTGCCTGATTGGTCGATGCAATTTGTGCAAACCATGCAGAAAGATGTGGTGCTTCAGTGCCACTGCTGACACAATGCTGTACGTGGAAACAACAGGAGAACATGCTGAAAAAAGGGACCCAAGCCGTATTTCCTTTTGACAATGGATGAGTATCCATTTGAGCAAGGGTCAAAAGATGGTATGTACAGATTTAGTATTCGGCCGCCGTCACTTTCTAAAATCTGTGATTTCCTGTGGGGAGCGATAGGGAGCCTTGAAGAGCGATACCCCCTTAAGTAGGTAAATATGTTGTCATACTACTACTACTACTACTACTACTACTACTACTACTACTACTACTACTCCTGCTGCTGCTGCTACTACTACTGCTACTGCTACTACTGCTACTAACTACTAGGTCGGGCGCTCATAGATGGCCGTATGGTTTCGTGCACTTTCATCTCAGTTTTGATACAAATGTATGAGTGGTGATATGGCAAATCCTCCACGCTGGCCATTCGAAATGCATGTGCAACTTCACATGTCCATGTTTATATCTTGGCGTGTCATATTTTGACGTCGAAAAAAACTACTTCAGTTGAGACACTTTCAAGTGTGTTTACTTCAGTGCATGACTTTTATTTTCATCCACCGCATGTTCGCCAAGTTTTCTTTAATCTGCAAAAAGTCGAGACAGTTGCTCGAGAACCTCGCTTGGATTCTTTCCAAAAAGTGCATGGTTTCTCATGACGTACCATCCCAGATGTGTTGAATTCCAAGAAAAGATCTCATGACGTACCATCCCAAATGTGTTGAATTCCAAGAAAAGATCTCATGACGTACCATCCCAGATGTGTTGAATTCCAGGAAAAGATCTCATGACGTACCATCCCAGATGTGTTGAATTCCAAGAAAAGATCTCATGACGTACCATCCCAGATGTGTTGAATTCCAAGAAAAGATCTCATGACGTACCATCCCAGATGTGTTGAATTCCAACAAAAGATCTCATGACGTACCATCCCAGATGTGTTGAATTCCAAGAAAAGATCTCATGACGTACCATCCCAGATGTGTTGAATTCCAAGAAAAGATCTCATGCCGTACCATCCCAGATGTGTTGAATTCCAAGAAAAGATCTCATGACGTACCATCCCAGATGTGTTGAATTCCAAGAAAAGATCTCATGACGTACCATCCCAGATGTGTTGAATTCCAGGAAAAGATCTCATGACGTACCATCCCAGATGTGTCGAATTCCAAGAAAAGGTCTCATGACGTACCATCCCAGATGTGTTCCAGTCCAAAGAAACGTTATTACACCCCCCACGCCCCCCCCCCCCACCCCCCACCCCCCCGAACCAACACCACGCCAAAAAAAAACAACAAAAAAAAAACAAAAAAAGAGGTTTCGCTGAGGCGAAACACAATAAAAAAGGAAAAAATGCGCTCTCGCTGTGGCGCCAGTGCAGTGAACATGCAAAAACACTGTTTCGTGACGCGGCCTTCTGCGCGCGCCCAGCCTGGTACTAACTACTACTAACTACCACTAACTACTACTAACTACTACTAACTACTACTAACTACTACTAACTACTACTAACTACTACTAACTACTACTAACTACTACTAACTACTACTAACTACTACTAACTACTACTAACTACTACTAACTACTACTAACTACTACTAACTACTACTGCAACTACTACTGCAACTACTACTGCAACTACTACTACTGCTACTACTGCTACTGCTACTACTAATACTACTACTACTACTGCTACTACTACTACTACTACTACTACTACTACTAGTATTACTAGTATTACTACTACTACTACTACTACTACTACTACTACTACTACTACTCCTGCTACTACTACTAACTACTACTAACTACTACTGCAACTACTACTGCAACTACTACTGCAACTACTACTGCTACTACTACTACTACTACTGCTACTACTGCTACTGCTACTACTAATACTACTACTACTACTGCTACTACTACTACTACTACTAGTATTACTACTACTACTACTACTACTGCTACTACTCCTGCTACTACTACTACTACTACGATCTCTACGACCACCACTACCACTACCGCTACCGCTACCACTACCACTACCACTACCACTACGGCTACTACTACTACTACTTACTTACTTACTTACTTACTTACTTACTTACTTACTTACTTACTTACTTACTTACTTACTTACTTACTCCATCTATGTATGTGGGTGGTGGCATTTTTCTGTGTTTTCAGACCCTTTTCAGACCTGTTTCAGACCAATTGGGCAGTTGCTTCCAATTTACAGACTCAGGGTAGCTCCAGCTTTCTATGACTACAACTAATACTACCATTATTACTTTTAATATTAACGAACTTCTGCTATTATTGTTGTTGTTATTGTTTTTCTTCCCGCTACTATTGTTATCGTTATTACTAATACTAAAATTATTATTGTCTTTATAATGGGATGGTTGTGTGGCTGCTGCATTTTGATCCAGGGATCCTGTTCGTGTTTCTGGCGCGCTTGGTGCCATGGAGTGGTGCGTTGAAGAGACGATGCGCACGTCTGGCGCCAGGTTAGGCGATCTGTACCGACACTTGATTTTGAAATCATTGCGGTACTTAGTACTTGCTGCAAACTATTGTTATTTGTGATTCCCAAATGCATCCAAGTCTCAATAGAGATGATTTGGCTACATCGTATAACCCCTGTACCCCCTATAACTATGTTTGTATATCCATTGACCATCGGATGTGAACAGCAAGCATGATGAAGATAATGCCAAGTGTGTGCGTTGGAATTCAGCTCAAAGCTGGCCACTTTCTCCATCGCTTTCTGGTGAAAACCGAGGTATTTGGATATCACCGCAGAATGTCCAGTACCGGTCGCTGAAGCAAGCACTCCGGAATGGATTTGTGGATGCGAATCAGGTCGGCGCACGGTATGTGCAATATTTTGGAAACAGCTGGGGTTAGAAACTACTAGTACTACTTTGGCTATTTTGCGTACAAGTATTTGCAAAGAGAACGCTACCACCACTGTTAGTACTGGTTCTCTTTTTAATACTGGGGCCGATTTTATTAGAATTTGCAAAAACTTACTGGAATAGTCAGAAACAGGTCAGGAACAGTTCAGAAACACTTCAGAAACATCAAAAAGCTTGCAGATCAGGACCGAGCCAGCACATCCACCATTTCTTCATTCAGTTGGTTGGCGGTTCCTGCTCAGGTGTGCAGCGCACCGCCTGCGAAGTATCGGCGCTTAGCGGCGCCAGCTGGGGGCGAACCTCCAGTTGGCGGAGCAGCAGCTTGCGCTGCTACAGCGGCCGTTGCTGGTGAGACTGTGGAGCTGCTTGGCTGTAGTAGAAGGAATCCATGACAATCCTTTCAAGGTCACATAAAAATCCTGATACGATCCTATTATATGTAGCCACTCCACAACCCAATATCAACCCATTCAATCCCATTATAGTCCCATCAAATTCCATTGCAGCAAATTCCACCATAGTCGCAGTAAACCCTAATGTCAGCCCATTGAATCCCATTATAATCCCATCAAAACGCACTGTGATCCCAATAGAATCCCATACCAACCCGTTGTAATTAATCCTATTATAATTTCATTACAATGAAATTATATTATAGTCCCAATGTAATCTCAGCATATCTCATTAAAACTCTCCACAAAGTCCAATTATGATCCCTAAATTAAGTGGGGAAAAAACCATGTCCTTGACGGCGGTCCATTTCAAAAGGTTAGGCTAGCCAAGCCAAGTTCCTGTTCAAACCTGTTGGGGTTTATTCCTAGCCGTGGCCCCACTGCCTAGGCACGAGGGCGCTGCAAATGGGATGGCCGCGGTGGTCGCAACACCCTGTGACATTCAGCAACATGCTGATGCTGCTAGGGCGCTTGACAGTGAGATTGTCGAGCTGCTTGTCTGCAGATCTTTGCAGCAGGCAGTAGGTTCTCCCTGAAATATCCTTTCAGACCATTGCCCCGTGCCAAGACGCAATGGTGCCCATTTTTGTACGAAGGTGCAGCCAACCCTTTTGGAAAGCTCAGGTGTTTGAAATTCAAAGCTGTTGTCTCCCAGCCATGCCTGCATTGTTTCAGGCACGATGGCGCTGCAACTGCAAATGGGATGACCGCCGTGGTCGCTACGCCGAGTGACATTCAGCAACCTGCTTATACTGCTCGGATGCTTGACAGTGCGATTGTAGAGCTGCTTGTTTGCAGATGTTTGCAGCAGGCAGTAAGTGCTCCATGGGAGGGAAACCTATCAACCAACTTGTCTAATAAGATGGGATAGAATTACTCGTGCTCAAGTTATTCTTACTCGGTCATTTGAGTTCCTCCAACGGATCAAAGCCCCTTTACGGCTGTTGCGGGTTCATAGAAAAGCATATTATATATATACAATATATTATGTGATTATATATGTGTATATATATATTATATAACCGTGTGGGTACGCTTAAAATCCATCCGGGACCTTATTTGTACAGAATGGGAGCACATCGCCAGGCAACCGTCTTCCTTCAGGGTTGGCCCTTTGGGCATTGTCCAGGCTTTCTGCATGCAGCAACTTGGCGTGGCAACGGGTGGTCCTGGTCCATTTAGCCTCTGGTAAACATAGAAAAAGTTATTGAAAATGGATGAAATTGGTGATTTATAGGATTTAGTTCGTGGATTTACAATGATTTATAGTAGATTCTAGATGGTTCATTTAATGATTTAATCATGCTCTATTAATGGATAATGGTATATTAATGGATAATGGTATATTCTGGTATTGTCACATTGTCCACTTGTCACATTGTATTTTGGTATGTTTTAATATCTCCACAATACATATCAGAATGACATACCACTACCCCCATGGAACGCTCTACCATACCGATTCATCCGAAACATTAGATCCAACTCTAATTCTTAGTATAAGGATCTAGTCCACTACCCCCCACAGAACGCAATACCGTCCCGCTAGTAGGAGGCATCATAATGATCACCCTGGTTGAGTGCTTTATGGAGATATATTAGTTTCCCTTTGGATATCATTGTAACCTATGGGAAGGAAACCTATCAACCAACTTGTCTAATAAGATGGGATAGAATTATTCTTACTCAAGTTATTCTTACTCGGTCATTTGATATCCTCCAACGGATCAAAGCCCCTTTACGGCTGTTGCGGGCTCATAGAAAAGCATATCGCCTCCTCCGATCAACATAGCACGGGCGGTTTATGGCCTATAATGTGATGAAATCATGCACCATCCACAGAAGAAGTAGCTACCAACTTATTTGCCGTAGATGGAGACCATTTGGTGAGGTCATGCTGACCTACAACGACCACAAAGCCACTTCCCAGCGGCTGCACCAGCACGCACGAATCTGCCATGCGCACGGTCAAGCGCAAAAGCTTCGATGCGTAAAAACTGTCATCTTTCGTGAAGTTGCATGTCTCATTGGTAAGCATACTGCCTGAGATTAGCAAAGTAAAAAACTTTTTTCACTACTCACAAATTGGAACATGATTACATGAGTTTTTAGTTTCGCCAACTTAGTAGGCACATGTACCGTATCACAGCACGGTTCATATGAATGTTGGAGATTTGAGATTTTCTTCAAGATTAGAGAAATTTCTCATTCTTGTGCCTTCCAACTGGTCCGAAGATATTGTGCCTGCCACTTCATATCTTTTCAAACAATGCGAAGGTATGTAATGTATGCGAAATGTCTCCGTTCTTGCCATGTTCCTTTTGTTTCCCTAGCATTTCCTTGTATGTTGTGTTCAAGTCTTTTCTGTCTGTAAATTGTTCCTTTCATCAAGGTCAGCTAGACCCCCCGAAGGGGTCTGAAACCACTCTGAAACCGCTCTGAAACCACAGAAGTTCAACACGTGCAGAGCATGCATACATACATACATACATACATACACACAGCCCACCTCTCCTAGTCCATTCATCAAATTTCTTCGTCCTTTTATTATGTGAGCCTTCCAACTGGTCCGAAGATATCGTGCCTGCCACTTCATATCTTTTCAAAGAGTGCGAAGGTAGGTGTAAGAAATGTCTCCGTCCCTTGTCATGTTCCTTTTGTTTCCCTGGCATTTCCTTGCATGTTGTGTTCAAGTCTTCTTTGTCTGTAAATTGTTCCTTTCGTCACGGACAGCTGAAACCATTCTGAAGCTGCTCTGAAACCACAGAAGTCCAACACGTGCAGAGCATACATACACACAGCCCACCTCCCCTAGTCCATTCATCCAATTTCTTCGTCCTTTATTATGTGAGGCTTCCAACTGGTCCGAAGAGTGTGAAGGTAGGTGTAAGAAATGTCTCCGTTGTTGTCATGTTCCTTTTGTTTCCCTGGCAAATTGTTCCTTTCGTCAAGGTCAGCGAGAGCCCCCCAAGGGGTCTGAAACTATGCGGAAGAAGCAATGTGCCATGGAGAAGTGGATGACAGGGTTGATTGGCATGAAGTAGAATTTTTCATAGAATCCATAGAAATACAACGTCGATCACCTCCAAGTTTGTATGTTGGAGATACCATGAAACTCGGTGTGCCATGCGGAAGATGGTAGTTCTGACTGTTCAAACAGGCATATGGTTGTCAGCTTTTGGCTAACTATTGTACATTAAACGCATAGTAAATAGATGTATTTGAGTTGCCTGCTTCAGAATTAGTCCACTTTGACCGTCGGTGTGCCATAGGAATTCCACATGGCGGAAGATTATTGATGTCTGGCGTAAGCGGTGTGCCATGCGGCTGGCGCAAGTTCTAGTAAATAGCGTAGGATCACGCCAGAACTCGTACTGTTTGAAGATACATCGTGCTGTTTGGCATTTCCTTGTGTGTTGTGTTCGACTCTTTTCTGTCTGTAAATTGTTCCTTCCATCAAGATCAGCCAGACCCCCCAAAGGGGTCTGAAACCACTCTGAAACCGCTCTGAAACCACAGAAGTCCATGACGCTGAAGGTAGGTGTAAGAAATGTCTCCGTTCTTGTCATGTTCCTTTTGTTTCCCTGGCATTTCCTTGTATGTTTTGCTGACGTCTTTTTTGTCTGTAAATTGTTCCTTTCATCAAGGTCAGCAAGAGCCTCCCAAGGGGAAACCATCTAATGGCAGGCTTTAGGGGCATATACCAGATCTTTAGACACATATTTTCTATAATTCAATATTCCCCCTTAAAATGCATTTAAATTGCGAACATCACATGATATTATGTATATCAATGGAAGACTTAGGGGCATATACCAGATCTTTAGACACATATTTTCTATAATTCAATATTCCCCCTTAAAATGCATTCAAATTGCGAATCGATGGACACACACTCACCGACAGAATTATGGAAACAAATAATTATGGAAACATTAATTATGGGAAAAAAAGGTTCGCAACTTTTCTATCATAGACAGGCGGCGCCTGTAGATTGAAACGTTTTTTTCATAATTCTGTCAGTGGCTGTAACCGTAATGAAAATAGAGCTATCCACAGGTTAACATCATTAATTATTAGTGACCATTATTTATCATTATTAACCATCTCACCATCATTAACAATGGCAAAATCTTGAACCAACTACCATGGCAGCCATTTCTGAGTTCTGTTTCGCCGCCCCGAGGTGCCACACTTCGCCACTCCTGAGCTGAACGACCTGAGCTGAACTCCTGAGCAGCAGCAGCAGTAGTAGTAGTAGCAGCAGCAGCAGGAGTAGTAGTAGTAGTACCAGTACTAGTAGTGGTAGCAGCAGCAGCAGTAGTAGTACTAGCAGTAGCAGCAGCAGCAGCAGCAGGAGTAGTAGTAGTAGTAGTAGTAGCAGTAGTAGTAGTGATAGTAGCAGTAGTAGTAGTAGTAGTAGTAGTAGAAGTAGAAGTAGTAGTAGTAGTAGTAGTAGTGGTAGCAGCAGCAGCAGTAGTAGTAGTAGCAGTAGTAGTAGTGGTAGCAGCAGCAGCAGCAGCAGTAGTAGTAGTAGTACTAGCAGTAGCAGCAGCAGCAGGAGGAGTAGTAGTAGTAGTAGTAGCAGCAGCAGCAGTAGTAGTAGTAGGTAGCAGTAGTCAAAAAAAAGTAATAATAGTAGTAATAATTTTGAAAAAAAACATACCCATTATAAAGACAATAATAATTTTAGTATTAGTAATAACAATAACAATAGTAGCCGTAATAAAAATAATAACAACGACAATAATAGTAGAAGTTCGTCAATATTAAAAGTAATAATGGTAGTATTCGTTGTAGTCATAGAAAGCTGGAGCTACCCTGAGTCTGTAAATTGGAAGCAACTGCCCAATTGGTCTGAAACAAATCTGAAAAGGGTCTGAAAGCCATTCGCAAGCCCACCACCCACATACATAGATAGAGTAAGTAGTAGTAGTAGTAGTAGTAGGAGTAGTAGTAGTAGTCGTAGGAGTAGTAGTAGTAGTAGTAGTAGTAGTAGTACTAGTAGTAGTAGTAGTACTAGTAATAGTACTAGTAGTAGTAGTAGTAGTAGTAGTAGTAGTACTAGTAGTAGTAGTAGTAGTCGTAGGAGTAGTAGTAGTAGTAGTAGCAGTAGTAGTAGTAGCAGTAGTAGTAGTAGTAGTACTAGTAGTAGTAGTAGTAGTAGTAGTAGGAGTAGTAGTAGTAGTAGTAGTCGTAGGAGTAGTAGTAGTAGTAGTAGTAGCAGTAATCAAAGAAATAGTAATAATAGTAGTAATAATTTTGAAAAAAAACATACCCATTTTGAAGACAATAATAATTTCGTATTAGTAAAAAGAATAACAATAATAGTAGCCGTAAGAAAAACAATAGCAACAACAATAATAGTAGAAGTTCGTTAATATTAAAAGTAATAATGGTAGTATTAGTTGTAGTCATAGAAAGCTGGAGCTACCCTGAGTCTGTAAATTGGAAGCAACTGCCCAATTGGTCTGAAACAGGTCTGAAAACGGTCTGAAACCACCGAAAAAGGCCATTCGCAAGCCCACCACCCACATACATAGATAGAGTAAGTAGTAGTAGTAGTAGTAGTAGTAGTAGTAGTGGTGGTAGTAGTAGTAGTAGTAGTGGTAGTAGTGGTAGTAGTGGTAGCAGCAGCAGCAGCAGCAGGAGTAGTAGTAGTAGTAGTAGCAGTAGCAGTAGTAGTAGTGGTAGCAGCAGCAGTAGTAGTACTAGCAGTAGCCGCAGCAGGAGTAGGAGTAGTAGTAGTAGCAGTAGTAGCAGTAGTGGTAGTAGTAGTAGTGGTAGTAGTAGTAGTAGTAGTAATAGTAGTAGTAGTAGTAGTAGTAGTAGAAGTAGTAGTAGTAGTAGAAGTAGTAGAAGTAGTAGAAGTAGTAGTAGTAGTAGTAGTAGTATATATTTATATATGCATAAAAAATGCACATAAATATACATATTTTTTATTTGTATGAATACACTATATGGTTTTTGGCAAAAAGTGAGCTCCCACTGTGTGAAGCGATAGGGAGCCTTGAAGAGCGATACCCCCTAAACTGATGACCATGGAATCAGTACCATGTTTTGACCGTCGCACATTTGAATTTGAAAAAAAACTTGAAAGAAAATTCAAATGGATACTCATCCTACAATTCTGAAACTATAAACACCTGACTGTGAGCCTCATCAAAGAAAAAAACAGATTCAAGTAAATGTAAGCAGATGTAAACAGAGGTCATCAGATGTAAGCAGGTGTAATCAGATGTAAGGACTTCCATGTCAGATGCTGGCCGCAGGCCTAGCCGGTTCGCTTGCAATTGGCAGAACTGTGAAGGCGTTGTGGCGTATTCCCCAATTACAACACTGAAAAAAAACTTGAAATGCGTTTCAAGTGGAAGCTCATCCTACAACTCAGAAACTATATACACCCGAGAGACAGGTGCTAAGAAACTCAATACATAACATGCTGTCAAAACATGTTGTCTTAAATCGGTACCCACACTTTCTGATTTGGCGATCCACTTGAATTCAGTGACAGACGTGCCTGTGCGATGTGTCCACTAGTCCGTTTCATTTGTCGGCCCATCTGTCTTCCCTAAGTAAAACTTTCTCAATGCTGATTTTGGTATCTATTTCTCGGCTTATTTTTTGAGTGATCTGTTTTCTTTACTTGATCTATCTCTGTACATGTAAAGTCTGACTACCTGTCTGTCTGTCTGTTTGTCTGCTTGCCTGCCTGTCTGTCATTTTTGCCTCTCTCTCTGTCTGTCTGTCTGGCTGCCTGCCTGTCTGTCTGTCTGTTTTGTCTGTCTGTCTGTCTGTCTGTCTCTGTCTCTGTCTCTGTCTGACTGTCTGTCTGTCTGCCTGTCTGTCTGTCTGTTTTCATCTATCTTTGTGTGTCTGTGTCTGTCCGTGTTTCTCTTTGTCTTGGACTCTTTCTGCCACTCTGTCTGTCTTTCTGTTTCTCTGTTTGTCTGTCTGTTTGCTTGGCTGGCTGCTTGGCTCTTTGTCTTTGTGTTTGTCTTCTATCTACCGGTTTGCTTCGCTGGCTGTCTGTCCGTCTGCTTAGCTAGCCAGCTGTCAGCTGTCTGTCTCTCTGTGTTCCTGCCTCGCTGTCTGTGCTGTCAATGTGCATGAACGGGGGGTCTGAAATTCCCGTTCGAGAGCCCGAGTTCCGCAAGAAAAGCGGACCCCCGCACAAAATCGTATGTTGATTTTTGTAGGCTGCACCGGATGGATCCAGTAAGAGAGACTTGCATCGGTTAGAACAATCACTTGGCTTGCTTTGCAGGCACGGGAAAATCTTCGATCTGCTTTTGGCGCTTTGGAACCCTTTGGCTGGCCAAAAAGAAGTCCGCGGCACGTTCCAGACAATGCAGTCCATGACAAGAATTAAATTTGAATTTAATTCCTGCTTGAAGGTCAAGTGAAGAACAGACACATTGGAATTAAATTCAAATTGAATTCTTCTTTAAATTCGATTCCAAGCTTTTTTTTGAATCCGATTTTCATGCTCATCCCCCATAATATTCAATATTTAAGATATTTTACATATGACATATATATATATATGTATATATAATAGGTATAATGTATATGTGTAGTACATATATATTATAGTGTATGTATTTATATATTTCTAATGTGTACATTTTACATATATATATACACAGGTAGGTAGATCTAAATAACATGATGATGACATGCGAATATGTGTGTATACAACTATATCATAGGCAACCAGCAAAAGTTGGAATGTGTTGCTAAAAATTACCCAGGAGTTTGGGATGGTTTGATGCTGAACATGTTTTTGTCTAAACTCAGGGTGATGGATCTAGGGGGTCTGAAATTTTCCAGAGACAGTTTCCAGAGAGATCTACCCTCTGGTTATTTAACATAGCCATGGAAAATTGCCCATTTATAGAAGGTTTACCTATTAAAAATGATGATTTTCCATGGCTATGTTAAATAACCAGAGGGTACTGACTGATGTGTTTCTCATGGATGACTTAAGATGCTTTCACAACATTTTCTCGAACGAACGCCGGGCCAAGATTTCCAGACATCGAAGCAATGTGGGTAAAACGATAGTAAAACCGTCTCCCAGCCATGGGTGGTTTATGGCATTGTTTTACCACAGATCCTACATGTTCAGTTATTAAATTTAAATCAATACAACACTTGATGCTTGGAAAAAGGCATGGACCACCCATTTGGAAATGGTTTATAGCATTTGTTTATCCACATTACTTGAAAAAAGGTCCCAGTGTCATTGCTTTTCTGCTGGGTGGACTCAGGGATTCTCTGCATGCTGAGATCCCATATGTTTTGTTTTGCAGATGGAACAAGTTGAATATCTATTGAAATTTAATGTGTACAATTTTTTCGTGCCTTCCCTACTGTCAGGTTCAAATTCAAAAGGGATAAATAATTTTCTGTCTGCCATTCCAATGCACTCTATGTGGATAGTGTCCACAATTATAGTTGCATGAGTTGCTGTTTTTGGACTATGTCTATCTATTTCTCATACAAATGCTCATTAGTTTGCATACTATTTCTACTATTTCTATACTATGTCTATCTGTTTCTATCTATTTCTGTCTATTTCTCATACTATGAGTACCATGGCCATAGTGGGCCCCACTAGTACCACGGCTGCAAGGCTGATCAAATGTTGCCAGGAACGCTCGGCTCATGGGACTGATGGCAGACAGGCCCCGACATCGATATAGAATGATCCCATATAGATCCCTCGGAGATGTATTGTAGATTCGTGGTAAACCCAAGAATACTTGATAATAGAATACTTATAATTATCGATAATAGGATGTATATCATAATACTTATAATACTAATCATACTTATGATACGTATCCCATCATACTTATCATAATACATCAATCATTCTATTGAAAAAATGTTTAATGAACCCAATAGAATGATTTTTGGTCGATGATCATGGGATGAGAACTGATACCATCCCCAAATTTGAGGTTTTATACGCTTCCCGGGATGAATTATATATCATATCCCCAAATGGTTGGGATGGTTTATCCTTGGGTTTACCACATTACATGTTTTTTGGTGGATTGGTGATATTCCAAGAAAACATACTGAGGCTTAACAACTCTATCGTTTTCTTTGTTGTTTCTGTTTATGAGTTGGTTGTTTAAGTGCAGCCTGCAGTTTTTTTTTTTAATGATGCTTTGTGTTTGTGCAAGTCATGCATGTACATAAGTATTGTTACTTGTTTGTCTCAGTACATGTTGCTGCTTGGGTCTCTGTGCCGGCGAATACATCAGCAAACCCTGCCCATACTCACACATTATTGTAAATATGTCTTTATCAGACGCTCCATGCACGACATTTTCAAGTATCCACATTTTGGATACTTTGTTGGGGAGGTGTTAGTACATATCACATACGAGGGACGCATGGGTATATATGTGTGTATAATGCACTCAACAATCACGCACATTGTTATTGATTCATAAAGGGCTTATTCACGGTTCACTGTTCAAGCGCACATCTTCAAATTAGGCATGTGTTATCCCAACTTGTATATATATATATATTCCCCAACTTGTACATGTTTGAAACATGTTCCACATCGTTATCGGATAAACATTATCCAATTGTCATTTGTTGGAACGGGAGGCTAGCGGAACTTGCATCCCTAGATTTGCTCTAATGTTCATAACCTGGGGCCCAATACCCATTGAAACTCGTATATCTAGATACAAGCCCAGTTCCATTTACACATACACAGATAGATATATATATATAGGTATGTATATATATATATATATATTTACATATATATATATATACATATCTATATATTTACATATATATATATACATATATATATACATATATATATATATATACACATATATATATATATACATACACATATGTATGATAATCCCAATTAGTAGATACCCAATGAGCATTCCCAGTTTTCCGCATTTTCCCTACGGCCACGGCCGTGTCAGGCGGTGGAGCAGTTCACTTTCCGTCGGGTCCAGGAGGCCTCGCAGGTTCATCGGCTCCTGGCCAAGGCGGCCACGGCCACAGCGCGTTCATGCGGAACTCAGCCATTCCAAAGTGGGACCCCCAAACGATTATATATCTATAATGTATGGATTATAATGGATTATAGTATATAGTTGGATTGTATATATATATATATATATAGCCAAACTCATGCTAAGTTGGATTTTAATGGCTTTTATATATATATATACTGTATATAGTTACATACTTATAATTATATATCTGCGATTGTATATCTATTAGCTAAATTGTTGCACATAGCTTGGTTAACGTTTGGGTTTATGGCAGTAATGACTATAGTTCGATGGGATCAAAAACCAACTAACATAAGTTGGGGCCCCGCATTGTATGGGCAATGATTACATCAAGAGGAAACACATGCAACTTTAATGGTATAATTACAACTATATAATTATAAGATATATATAACGTGATGTTTATCTTCAAGTTGACTTGTTTGGGATTTAGCAAACATCATCATTAAAAACATGGGCTGCCAAACCACACACATTGGGGATTCTTGGTGATTTATCTAACTTTGACCAACCATATTTGAGTATCCGGTGGTTTGAAGGGAGCGATTCGGAGGTATGGCTTTCCGATCCATATAAAACAATGGTAGCCAAGTGGCTACTAAGATAACAAAAAACAACAACAACCACATGCCATCTAATATACCCACAAAAAAGAGAAGAGCTTTGATTGTTGGCTTTACTACACTTTAGATTCACAGATGATTTATGACTTGAGCAGCATCCCGAGAATTTGCGACTCATGGGCCCTGGTTATAACTCAAGGTGGATATGTTGACGGAAAGGCACACGGGGATCCATCCTCATCATCCTGAAAGTCGCTCAATTTGAACGGGGAACTGGGGAACATTGGGAACATGATGTTCTCCATTGGAACGGAGAGACAAAACCAGCTTTGTGAGTTGATTCGTTAAACCACTTATCCGTAGATCAATCATGTTTGTCACAGTTTATTGGTGATTGTTTTGTTTTCCCAGGGTCAATCGAACGTTGTCCAATCTTGTGGATCAAATGCAAGCAAAAACTTGTTTGTGTCCATATGTCAATGGTATTTACCACATCGAAAACACTTGCTCAGAAGGTTCTCTAATCCATATTATAGCAAATTACGAAGATGATGCATTGAACCAAACATATAAAACATTATTGGAACAACATCAAACTTATCAAGAAAACAAATCCAAAGATCAACAACATGCAATAACATCCAAAATATTAACGTTTGACACGTTTCCCTTTGAGATTCTTTGGCAGTCAGACTATCCGCTGGTAACCAAACGTGGTTTGCTGAAAGTCATCCATTCACTTTGTTAACTTACCCATGAAGTCCCCCCATTTGGTTCGGGGATTTTCCATTTTGCCACGTTTGATGACGGCTCCGGGTATCCAGATACGATCCCAACAGCTTCATCGCTGGATCCATAGGGAAGAATTATGGCCTTGCCATGGCCAAAAGATGGATGATATTATATACCCATGTAATGCCATATGCATATAATTCAAAAAAACACATAATTACTGTTTGTATTGGGTGACGTTTTTTCTCAGTTGGGTTTTCAGGAGCCTGAAATTTGGCGCTACTGTACCATATTGTACCATATAAGGCCCTATTTGGTGCGGATATTTCCTTAGGCCTTGTAGATGGCATAGGTATACCTCCAATTCCCAAAGCATGGGTTGACCATACCAGATATGGCAACCCATGTAACTCGACGGCACTGCCATGGCTTTGTAAATGGGAATATCATGGGGAAAATTAATAGAACTATGGGATGCATAGCCAACTTGATATGAATTGGGATATTTTACATATCTATATAGCCCATACATATATGAATAGATATATATATTATATATATATATATACATATCATTTATATATATATATATATATACACATATCGTGTATATATTTATATATATACACATATCATATATATATATACACATACCATATATATATACACATACCATATATATACATATATCATTTGTATATATATATATACATCATAATATATATATATATATACACATACCATATATATACATATATCATTTGTATATATATATATATATACATCATAATATATATATATATATATATCTATCATATATCATATATATATACACATATCATATGTATATATATATTCTCCCAATACTTGGGATTGTTTAACATATCAACCAGCCCACTCCAGGCGGCGCGAGAGCGGCACACAGCCTCCACGGCCTGCAACGATCGCTCCAGTCGCTCGCACGCGCTCTTCCAGCACCTTCGCTGGAAAAAAGGAAACAACGGGGGGGGCGGGAATCCTTGGGATTTGTTTAAGTGGGCTTGACTGTAATTTCACGGGTTTTTATGGGATTGTTGATGGTGATTTAAGAGGGTCTTAATCGGATTGAGCTTGATTTCACTATCAATAGGGATTATCAGAGGGATAATATGGGGACTAATCATCCATCAATGGGATTTTAACTGGGTTATAGTAGGACTTTAACCACCAAACATGGGAAAACAAAAACATTGGTGAAGGGATCAGAATCAAAATTTGTCATAAGGAATTGATTGGACCCATTTGTTTGGGAATATTTGGGATATCTTTGCGATATAGCTGACATGTTCACACAAAATCAAGCGTTAAAAATCCCAGGTTTGGGGTCGAAGGATTGCAGTATTCAAGAATTTCTAGGTGATGAATCTGCGGGTGCAATCTCATTTTGCTTGCTGCTGCTCCGAAATGAGCGGGGCAACAATGATAGTTTCTATACACGAAAAAATAGTGACGAACCGTCAGGGATGAAAACTCTACAATGTGAGTTAGGTTTCTTTTCAATTATGACTCCAACAACTGTAAAATTTATGGTAGGGACTACTGCAATCTACAGCTGAATTCATGGGTGCGCATAAACCAACTTACATGCAAAGAGGCCACCTTTTTAGGTACAGATACTTCACCTCTACGTTTGACTTCTGCAAACGTCTAGTAGGCTTGTCATTACCATTTGAAGAAATGTAGAGGTAATGAAGTCAATATCGCGTACCATGGATGTTTATAGAACGATTTCGAAATCTAAGAAAGATCGGTGAATCTGACTGTCAGATGAACCATGTTTGAAGGCGCAATTTTGGGTATTGATCCAGTGAACCAACAAAATGGGAAAATAAATCCGATAAACTGACGAGACACATGAATATCTGTGTGATTCGACTCATTTTTGTTGTCGGAAGTACCAAATGATGGCTCGTCCAGAAAGGGTGATTCGAGGGCCATGTATTGTGAGATTGGTGGAGGATGAACATGGCTTCCAAAAATGGGGAAAACTCCCATTTTTACAGCAATTAATGCGGAAGATTACTCCAGATGGCCCATGATTTATTGGCCATAGCTATTCCATAGCTATTCCTGCCCAGCAAAAGCCCCGGATTCCTCTTGGGTGGTGGACCCGGTCTCGTGCCAGGTTGGCTTTGCAAGGTTCACAGGCCGGTGGAACGGATCTTTGACCTTTGGTGCCTTAGGAAGATATGGCACCCCTAAATCTGCTGGTTTATGTTCCCTGTACTCCAACCCAAAGGCTCCTCTATTGAAAAAAATCAATAGGACGATTGATTTTTTAGCAAAATCAATCTTCGATTGAAAACAGCTTTTTTTCAATAGATTCTGCTTTCTTTGAAAATTTAAAGATTGAATTTCCGATTGATTTTTGAAAAGCATTTTTCCTTGAAAAACAGACAAGTTTCTATTGATCTCTCGATTGATCTTTCTATTGATTTCTCGATTGAATTTTAGATACATCTGGTGGCTGGATAGCCACATGTTAGGGCTGACTCTGGTGGCTGGATATAAGCCACATGTGAGGGTTGCTTTAGCCACATGTGAGGGTTGCTTTAAATAAGGTGGCTGGATAGCCATGGATTTGCCCATTAGTCAGTGGTGGCTGGATAGCCACAAGACTTGTAAAGGAGAGTGTGGTGGCTGGATAGCCATGAAATTTTCTAAGCTTAGTGTGGTGGCTGGATAGCCATGGATTAGTTTCAGACAAATGAATGATTTCTGTGGCATGCTGGCTCAAGAGCAACTTTGCACTTGACTCCAGTGCCTGACATCACCATGGGCAAAGGAGGCTGCAGAAGGCAAGCAACACCCACCATAGATATGGAGCACCTGGAGGACCTCCTGAAGGACCATGTGAGGAAGGTGGGGCACTCCCAGGCTTTTCAGTTTGGCAAGTATCTGAGCATCAGCAAGGCACAAGCTATCAATGCTGGAGCCCTACTAGCTCAGGAAGACTTCTTGTTGAAGTTGATGGCAGTGAGTGATGGGCTCCTTTTCAACTACAAGGATTTGAAAGAAGGGTTCACCCAAGTGTGCAGAGCTTTCCCTGGCTTGAAGGAAAGCTTTGATTTGGAGATGAGGTCAACACTGGGTGGGAAGTTGGCTGAATCAACCATGACTATGTGCACACACATGCGAAGACTGAGAGTGCCCCAGAAGTTTCAAGAGGCTTGCAGTACCCTCAGTGACTGGCAAGTTGAAAAGCTGGAAGGGTTGAGGGCAGCATTTGGTGTGGACACAGATAAAGGGCCAAATGGGAAAAGTGGTGCTTCAGGGTCAAAGGCAAAGAAGGAAGAAGAATCAAGAGAAGAAGATGAGGAAGGAAGCTGTGAGACCCAAGATTTGTTGGATTTGGAAGTCCCCAGAACTCCTGGAAAGGATGGCCCCAGCTTGTTGGATGCTGCCCTGCAGGTGTCACCTGTGCCTGCCAGGAAGCAGAACCTCAAAGCTGCCATGGGCTTGAAGAAGCCTGCTGCAGCTGGGAGCAAGAAGCCTGCAGGCAAGATTTTGAAGGAGATCAACAAGAAGAGTAAGATAGCAAAGGCAAAGGTGAACAAGGACAAGGTCGACTACAAGGAAGCTGAGATGAGGCTCATGCCTTATAGGAAGACAACTGCTGTGGCAGTGGTGGCAAAGGGTGTTGGGCAGCTTTTCCAGGTGGTGACTTTCAAGAATGTCGAGAAGAACAGCAAGGCTGCAAGGAAGCTCATGGAGATGCTGAAGAAGGGTAGCTCCTTAGCTGATGTTTTGGCAGCCAAGGAAAAATTGGCAAAGTGAGGAAGACACCTGAAGGAAGCTGGAAAGACAAAAAGAAAGCTCTAGTGAGTTAGAGTGTGGTGGCTGGATAGCCACAAGGTTGGGTGGGGATTTGTCAAGAGGTGGCTGGATAGCCATGAGATTTGTCTGGGTTGTCTGTGGTGGCTGGATAGCCATGGGTTTGCAAATCAGTCAGTGGCGGCTGGATAGCCACAAGACTTGTAAAGGGAAGTGTGGTGGCTGGATAGCCATGAGATTTGTCTGGGTTGTCTGTGGTGGCTGGATAGCCACAAGACTTGTAACTTAAGGGAAGTGTGGTGGCTGGATAGCCATGAAATTTGTCTAAGCCTAGTGTGGTGGCTGGATAGCCATGGATTAGCTTCAGGCAAAAGAATGATTTTTGTGGCATCGTGGCTCAAGAGAAACTGCACACTTGACTCCAGTGCCTGACAGCCATGGCAAACCAGTGGGTTGACTCCTGGGGTACATGGACTGGCTGGAGTGGAGACTGGAATGGCTGGAGTGGTCAGAACTGGACTCCACAGCACCAGGATGTGCCAGAGCCTGCTCAACCTCAGGCCATCCAGGCCAACCAGCCCCAGGCTACCCATGCCACCCAGCCCCAGGCTACTCAGGCCACCCAGCCTCAGACCACTCAGGCCACCCAGCCTCAGGCTGCCCAGCCTCAGGCCACCCAGCAGGCTGCCCAGCCTGCCCAGCCTGCACAGACTGCTGCCACTGAGCCAGGAAAAGGTGGAGGAAAAGGAGTTGGAGGAAAAGAAGAAGGAAAAAGTGGAAATGGTGGAGGACAAGAAAAAGGAGACAGTGGAAATGGTGGAGAAAAAGGAAAAGGAGGCAAGAAGGAAGGCAGCACAGCAGAGGAGGAAGGAAGCAAGAAGAAGGTCAGCTTAGAAGGGAAGGGCAAGGGAAAAGAAGGAGAGAAAAGGGCAAAGCTGGGAGGTAGCCCAGCCAGCTCAACTGGCAGTGGCAGTATGGCTGGAAAACTGCAGGACTTCAACCCCAGCCAGGGTGGGCTGCAGAGCAAGAGCTACAGAGAGATGCTGAGGCAGCTCCACCACCAGAAGGCACCTGAGATGGCCTGGAATGAATTCCAGGATCGGCTGGGAATGGCAGCTAGTGAGAGGATGGAGTTGGGATGGCTGAAGGAGGCAGGGTATTTTGGGGGGGGTAGCCATGGGATTTGCATGTTTTTGGTGGCTGGATAGTTACAGGATTATGGGATTTAATATCTGGTAGCCATGGGATTTCTGTTTTTTTTGGTGGCTGGAAAGCCATGGGATTTGTATGGATTTAATGTGGTGGCTGGATAGCCATGAGATTGGTCAGGCTTAGGTGCTGCCCCAGTGTTGCCAGGACAGCCTGAGAGTACACCTGAGGAAGGCCTACCACAAGTATGTGGAGGAGAAGCAGGGGAAGGGAATGGCCTCTGCCTTTGACACCTTCCTGGAGGAGATGATCGACTACATGGACAACCAGGTCCAGGAAGAAGATGAAGCCATGGGAACAGGACCCAGAGGATACTTGGTATGGGTTCCAGAGGAAGACAGTGAGGAGGAGAGCAAGGAAGCTGAGAAGGTGGCTGAGGAGCTCATGCCCAATGTGCCTGAGTATAAAGATGGGAGCCTGGACCCATCTTTTTGGGAAGAGCACTGGAACCTCTTCAAGCAGTGTGGTGAGTGCAAGGAGTACACCTATGTGAACAAGAACCACATGCTGAGAGCGCCAGGATGCAGAGGCTGCATGAAAGCAGAATGCAATGGGAACAGAAAAAATGGCAAGAAGAACCTGCTCAAGCTCCTGGCGAAGTACCATGGCGAGTCATGGGTGATGCAGTACTGCAAGTAGCTGCAGATGACAGCTGCTGTGAGCCAGTTTTTAAAGACTGCATGACAGATGCAGGATGCTGGAGAAACAATATATGGAAAAAAGGCTGGTAGCTTGTGGTGGTGGCTGGATAGCCATGGACTTACAAAATGCAAGTGGTGGCTGGATAGCCATGGACTTAAAAAATGGAAGTGGTGGCTGGATAGCCATGGACTTAAAAAATGGAAGTGGTGGCTGGATAGCCATGAGACTTTTTGTTTGAGTGATGTGTTTTTGAGTGGTGGCTGGGTAGCCATGGGAGTTGCTGGTGTGCAGTGGTGGCTGGATGGCCATGGATTTGAAAGATTGGTCAGTGGTGGCTGGATAGCCATGTGGGAGTTGCTTGTGTGGTCCTGGTGCCTGGGTGGCCATAGACTAAATAAATGAAAGTGGTGGCTGGATAGCCATGAGATTTACTTTCAATGAGGTGTGTTTGAATGGTGGCTGGATAGCCATGAGGTGTGTACTCTTGCTTAGGGAAAAACAAGGTAATTAATAAATATGAACACATCAGGCTGCAGGGAAGGCATTGAAGAAACACCATCAGGCATTGAACAAACACCTAGAGGTATAAATGGGATAACTACAGTATCTTGGACTGGAATAATTGCAGGTCCTAAGGCCCAAGGAAGACACTGGAAAAAACTATACCTTTTGCATGTTGGGTAACACCTTCTTGGATGTGAAAAAATGTAAGGCCCAAGGAAAAAATGGAAGACTTCATTCTTTGGGATTGAAAATTGCAAGCCCAAAGGTCCAAGGAAGGCATATTGAAAATTGCAAGCCCAAAGGTCCAAGGAAGGCATATCTGGGAGAACTACACAGTAGCTATGCACCTGTTCTATTGTTGGAAAGCCAAGCACACAGATCCAAGTGATGGCACCTGGGAAAACTATTCTTGCTCTGGCATGTAAAACAATGTGGCCCAAAGATCCAGGGGAAAAGCCTTGGAAATGGCTTGTGGTTAAAAAAATGCAGGCCCAAGGAAAAGCAGTTTGGGAAATTATAGCATTCTGGAATTCAATTATCCTGGATTTGCGAAATTGGAAACTAAAAGAAGTGCAGAAAGGCAAAAAATCACATGTTATCACATGATAAGATGTGAAAACCCATGGCAAGACATGACAAGACATGATAAGACATGATAAGACGTGACAAGACATGATAAGACATGATAAGACATGATAAGACATGATAACATGTGAAAACATGTGAAATCACATGTTATCACATGATAACATGTGAATTTTGGTGATTTTTAGTGAGATTAAAAAAAAGGAATGAACCCAAATCTTCTGCAGCACTTTTGGCTGCCAGGGAAAAACCGCACTTAGCTGGAGGAAGCCATGGGTTTGAAGAGGCCTAGCTCCAAGGTGGAAAACAAAGTGGCCAAGAAGCCAGCAGCAAAAGTGACAAAGGTGGCAAAGTTCAAGAAGCCAGCAGCACAGACTGGGAAGAAGGGAATTTTGAAGGGAAAGCAGAAGGAAGTTGAGAAAGACAATGGTGAGGAAGGGGAGGAGGAAGAAATGCTCACTGATGATGAAGTTGTACACACAGTCACATCCAAAAACCTGAAGACACACCAGCAGCTGCTGGATGCCAAGCTCTGCTCAGCCAAGGAGATTGACAAGGCCCTTGCCAAACTCCCTGCAAATGAGGTCCAGAGCCTGTGGAAGAAGTTTGAGAAGAATAGGCAGATGGCTGGAGCTGAGAGCTCCTACAAGGAAGCCACCAAAGGAACTGGAAGCCAGGAGAGGAAGCACAAGCTGCTGAGGTCCTTCATCCTTGATGGAGGGTCCATTGCCAAGAACTACAAGGAGGCCATGCTGGTCTATGAGAAAACTGATGAGAAGGGAGGCATGGTGAAGTTCAACACATGGAAGCAGCAGGTGGACAAATATGGAAAGGCTGAAGCCATGAGCAGGCTGAAAGCAGGAACAATGAAGTTTCGCAAGTCACCCACAGACCCAAGGTTCTTCGAGTTTGCTGATGAAAGTGAATATGTCAAGTGGAAGGCCAAGAAAAGCCAGACTGTGGCTTACAAGACTGACAAACACAAGGCTGGAAAAGATGACTGGCTCAGCATGGAGAACCTCAACTTGGAAGATGTTGGGGATGCCAGCTTTGCCTTAGCTGGCAATCAACTGGATGACATGGAGATCGAGCCTGAGCTGAAGGACTTCTTCAATAAGCAGCTCTCTGTCAAAGATGATGAGGACAAGGATACGAAGAAACAGAAGGAAAAGGAAGAGGCCAAGGAGAAGAAGAACAAGTGGGAAGAGATGAGCACTGTCAGCAAGGATGACAACAAAAGCACTTTGCTCAAGAAGCTGCTGGCATTCAAGGCAGAACTTTGCAAGGATGAAGGTGCCTTGCAGGAGGCGAAGTTGGATATGAAAGGCAAAGCTGGCTGCAAGGATGAATTGAAAATCCTGAGCTCTGCCCTGACAGAAGTGCAGACCTGCCAGAAAAAGATAGAGAAGGCCATCAACAGTGGAAGCAAGAAGGAAGAAAGCAAGAAGGCATTGTTGGAGAGCTTGGCAGCCTTGGAGAAGAGCAAGAAATGCAAGAAGTTGGTAGCAGGACCACCAAAGAAGAAGGCTAAAAAAGAAGAGGAGGAGGAAGACTGAAGCAGCGAAGTCCTCAAATTGAGGCAGGATAGGTAAGTCCTCAAACTGAGGCAGATTGCTCTAGAGCTTGGGAAGCTGGAAAATGTCAGGAGGTTGAACAGTGGTGGCTGGATAGCCACAAGAATTGGTGTTTTGGAGTGTGGTGGCTGGATAGCCATGAAAACTTGTTAAATCTCAAGTGTGATGGCTGGATAGCCATAAAACCTTGCTTCAGCACCTGTAACCACTTCTTCTTCCAGAATTTTTGGGTTCAAGGCAATCACAGCACCATGGCCAAGAGAAGGAAGATTTTGTATGTGAAGGGGGAGGAGACAGCAAACCCCAGGTATGCACACTGGGTTCTGGACCCCAATGAAGATAGCCAGGTGCTGATACCACCTAGTCCAGAAGTTGTGGAGACTGAAGAAGAAGAAGAAGGGCAAGGACAGGAGGAGAACCCTGCAAGGCCTGCTACTGACTCTGCTGAAGATGGAAAGTAGGAAAAGAAAGAGGAGCAGCCAGAACCTAATTAGATATGGACCTGCTGTGGATTTCCATGGGCAGCTTCTGTGAGAAGAAAAAATGGGCGAGTGATAGCCATAAGAGTAGGCAGGTATTTTCTTGTTGGCTGGATAGCCAAAAGACTTGTTTCTTGGAGTGTGGTGGCTGGATAGCCACAAGTTTCTTTTTGAGTGTGGTGGCTGGAAAGCCATGAAGTTTTAAGTGGCTGGACAGCCCTGCTTGCAGGTGGTGATCATGCAGGCATGAGGCCCAAGGAAAACATAGCAAATATGCAAGGAAAAAAAAGGAAACATGTGCCTGACCCTGGCGATGAGATGCAGCTCACCTCCTCTTTGGCAATCATGCTGCTCAACAAATTTTGCTGGGGGAGAATCAGTGCCTGTGAAGTGCAGCAGTATGCTGCTGCAGCAATGATGAGTGGTGCAAGCGGACAGGACCTCCACACTCTGGCCAAACTTGGAGGCAGTGGTTTTGCCAAGCAAAATTGCCACAGGGACTTGGTCAGGGCTTTCTTTGGTGGCATGTCTTCGCCACAGCCAGTGCAGGTGGCCACTGTGGTCAGAGTTAAGAATGCTGAGGGACTTGTGCTGGAGAAAGAGAAAGATTTACCTGTAATATTGCCTGAGGCATGGGTGGATACACTGCAGAACAAGAACCTCTTGCAAGAATTGACATGCAGCCAGAAAACTTTGAAGGAGTTCTGGTTGAAACAGGCTTGGAAAAACAATCCCCAACTGCAATGCTGGAAATCTTTCTGGAAGAAAGTGAGAGGAAACTCGATGCTGGAATTTGAGGATAAGTTTTGCCTTTTTCTTTTGTGTTTTTGCTAGTATGTCAAGAAACCATCAGAAGATAGCCATTATGTGTACTGTAAGATAGCAACCTGAGGTGGGAGCAGCTGGCCAATTCCATGGCTCATCCATGGAGATAGTGCCCCTTACAGTGAGGTGGATTCATTGCTGGTTGTGTCAATGAGATGCGCAATCTCTGGTGTGGCCATCAAACAATCTCAGCTGCTACTGACTTGCCTCCCCAAGAGTGCAGGAACTGCTTCTTCGATGAAGCCTATATGGGAAGCAATTGCTGGCAGCCTCAAGAAGATGGCAGAAGCAGGAAAAGGAGTTCTGTTTGTGGTGGCAGGAGATTTGGAATGGTTCTCCAGTGACTTTGGGTGGCCCACTGCCATGAGCAACAACCCATGCCCATATTGCCTTTGTGACAACTACTTTGAGGAGGAGAAGAGCGTGCGGCCATTTACAGATTTCAGGAAAGATGCAACTTGGAAATCTACTTTGAGGAGTGTGTCAGCACCACCACCAGTATCACATCCCTTATTTGGAGTGCCAGGAACTTCCTTCTGGAGCATGAAATTGGATCTGTTGCACCTTGTAGACCTTGGAGTGGCATCCCACATTTATGGGAACCTCTTGGCAACCATCGTCAAGAGCCTTCCTATGGGAAAGAAAAGGGCTTTGGTGGAAGTCAACAAGATGGTGGCCATGAGATATGAGGAACTTGAAACCCCAGCAGGGGAAAGAATACCCAGACTCAATGTGTCAGACATCTTTGGTGATGAGTTCCCTTGCCTGAAACATGTGAAAGGGAGGAGAGTCAGGAAATTTGCCACTGTGGCGACACTGTTGGCTGGGACCCTGGCTACAAACACAAAAGGAAAACACATGGAAGCTTTGTGCAAGGCCATGGAGGAAGCCTATGACCTTTGTGACTTGAAGGAGTATGTTTGGGACAAGAAGGTGGGACAGCAGTTTCAAGAGAAGACTGAGGCAATCCTAGGACACTATTCATGGCTGGCAAAGAATAGCATGAAGAGTGCAGAATGTATGTGGAGCCTGGTGCAGAAGCACCACCTCATGGCTCATTACCCAGCACAGTGCCAATACTTGGCACCAAGGAGCTGCTGGGCATATGGAGGAGAAAGCTTCATGTCCCTGATGGTGGCAGTTGCTGGGAGCAGTGTGAAAAGCACACCTGCATGGATGCTCCCTTCCAAGGTTCTAGCCAAATTTGAATACGCTTTTCACTTGATGCTGGAAGGGATTTTTAATCCAGACCTAGAAGAAAATGAAGAAGTGTGAAAAATGGCAGGCCCTGCCACAATGTGCAGCTTTCATGTGGTGGCTGGATAGCCATGTAAAAGACTTTTGTTGAGTGTGGTGGCTGGATAGCCAAAAGACTGCAGTTGACTGTGGTGGCTGGATAGCCACAAAGCTTTCATGTGGTGGCTGGATAGCCACAACACTTTTGCTGGAGTGTGGTGGCTGTTTAGCCAAAGCCTTTGAAAAGCCAGATTGCATTTAAGTGGTGGCTGGACAGCCACAAGTACATACATCCTGCCACTATATATAAATAGGATGGCTAGATTTCAGGTTAAAAAACAACTTGTCACGATTGATTCCTCGATTGATTTCGATTGATTTCTCGATTGATTTTGAAAAAAAACATTTTTCTTTAAAAATACAACTTTTCTATTGATTTTTCGATTGAAATCAGAAAATACCAATCTATTGATCTTTCGATTGGTTTTTCAAAGGAATCAATAGGCTATTGATTTTTTCAATAGCTATTGATTTTTTTCAATAGCGGAGCCTTTGGGAATGGCGATTGTAGTTATACAGTTATACCAAGAGTTATACCATATTTTCAGGCAAACCCATGTGAAACATCATCCTTCTTCAGTTTTTTCGGCACTATTCTTGCATTCTTCGGTGACTGCGACCATCTGACGAGTCTGGCACCAGACATCTAGGATACTAGGAATGGGACTTCCTGTCCAGCCAATGGAAATTTGTCGGATTGGTCTCCCAAGCAGAATGAGGAAAAATGGTGATAAACCATTGGAGTGATATCATATTTTCAGATAAACCCATGGTATATAGGTAAATATTTAAAGCACATTGCAATAGCTGACCATGATTATTTGACCTGCCCAGTAGTAATGTACACTTTCTTATGGGAAATTCATCAAGGATATATATGGATGTATATACACATATAAGTATATATCATGTGTAGACGTTCGCCACGTTGTTCTACCTATGGTGGTTATCTATCCCGTTATATCTCTGTACAATACCAATTATAACCCAGTAAATTACTTTTTGTCCGAACCCATTTTCTTACAGACCCAAATGATACGTTTGATTAAATTTATGGCTCAACCATAATGTTTGAAGTTATTTCCCATATTAAGAAAGCCAACTATTAAATATCCACAATTATAATGAAATATGAACATGCGTATAAATATCTAACTTTACTTTGGCATCCCACATTCATATCCTCAATTATATTGCATACATTTGCATACCATATATATATATATGCTAGTTATATACCAGGTGAGGCCCCCCCAGTTATGAGTTGGTTTAAAAAACGGATTGCACATAGCTATATTCCACAAAAACCAAACATTAACCACAGTATGTGTGTTAACTTAGCTAGCCTACACCATCTTGTGTATCGTTGGTCACTGGTATGTTTTTCCATTAGATACCATGGCAATCAATTATCATGTTTGATGGCCATTGGATACCAAGTGTTATAGATCCAATTACAAATTGTAATGCGCTAATTTCCTTCATATCAATAACTATCGCAGCGGATACCCATATGAAATCATATAAACATATTCCAAATTCCAAGTATAATGATATACATACGCACGTACTTACGTACGTACTTACGTACGTATATGTACGTACATATATCCTTGGTATACAGAATACTGTCTATATATATATACATACACATATCCCATTTATACATTAAATTTAATATTCCATCATCAGCTATACCCACTACAAACATCTCTACATTCCAAATGTGTATATACCCCATTCATAGACCATCTCCAAAAATGATCCCAACTATGAATCATGAATATTCCAGTTAAGCTATATCCCATTGTATACCATCAATATCCCATTGATAACCCAAAAGTGCTAGGATAATAATTATCTCCAATATGTTCCAATAATAGGGGTTGCCTTGAAAAATAGCGTTAATTTTCCCAAACATATTACAATTATAATCATTTATAGATGAATATCTATGGTGTATAAGATAGGATCTAGAAATATATGTATATATATACAATTTATTTACCTTTTAATAAACCAGTTATACCATTAAATACCTTTTACCCTTAAATCATTCCATCATCAGTTATACCCACTATAAACATCTCTCAATTCCAAATGTATATATATATATATATATTTACACACCATTCATTTACCATCTCCAAATACTATGCTCAATCTATATACCATTGTGTACTTGCATCATGGAATTACCGTATATATATATAATGCCATTATACCAATACCATATAAATCATTATATATATATATGTATATATCATATTCCATTATATACCATCATATTCCATCATCAGTTATTCCATCATCATATATCATTCCATCATCATTAGTTAATGCCATTATACCATTGCCATATATGGAATGATACCATATACCATGATATTCCATCATCATTACTTATTAATACCACTATATTATACCATATATCAGTTATTCCATCATCATATAGTTATACCATTGCCACATAAAAGGATATACCATTATAGTGGATATATGGCAATGGTATGATATTATACCATTTTTATTGGATGTAATTGTTATTTGCCATATAATACCACTATACAAAAACCGTATATAAACTAGGTCAATCTTACATGGATACTTTAATCCTTTAGTCTTTTGGTATTAATGGGAATATCTACGTTCACCAGCAAAAAAAATCATTTTTTGCAGGGTATCTAAGACTGGCAATGTAAATATGTCCACCTATAAAAAAGAAATCCATCCGATCGCCAGGCCAACGGCTCGGCCCGCTGCAGTGGTCTGCTGTCCTTCGTGGACCTCGCGGGCTCTGAACGCGTCGTGGCCTCGCAGGTCCAAGGCGAACGGCTGCGCGAGGCGCTGCCTGGGAACGCTGCGGGATTTCAGCAGGAAAACGGAGATAAAAATGGGGGAAAAATGGCAAGTTCACAGGCAAAAGCATGAAAAACTAGGATAAATCAATGGAGGTTTGGAATTTGGTGGGAGTTTATGGTAATTCGTAGGGACTTAAGATGACTTAACCAACAAAGATTAGTTACTTCCCAGTTTATACAGGATAGGAATCTGACATAATCTGACTATATCCAGTTCTATTCCTCTTCCATGTGCTGATACCATAAATTAACTGGGAAATAACCCAGTCATCACAAACGGAATAGTGCGGAATTATCAAACAGAGAAGGGTTTCTGAAATGAAGTATCTTTGGGGGTATACAGAATATTCATAGCATATGGATGGTCATGTTCTATTGGTTGGTTGATCCATAGAGGGGATGATACTGATGAATGATGATGAAAGGTATACTACCAGACCTCCCTATCATTCCCTATCTATGTATATATATATATACACATGTACACATATGCGAAAAGGACATTCTTGAACTTGAACCAGCCATCATCCGGGTGTATCCAGCAAGTTTGAACAAAACGAACCTTCAGTAATCAGACATTTGGGTTTGTCTGGGAAAAATCACATACGCTTCAATTTGTGCGACAATTTCATGAGGAAATTTATGATCATTGCATTGTTTGGTAATGGTCCAATTTGTTTCGGAATTTAAACATTACCTTTAAGTTTCAATGGCATCATCTTGAACAGGAGGATTTGCAGTCCATCAAAAGTAAAAACAACGTATTGAGATAGCAGTATACAGAAGTAAGTTCGATAGGTATGATGGGGGTCGAACTTGAAACCATGAGAATTGGCAAAGGTAGGCACTCCCACGTGACCTGCCGAAACTGATTCACCAATCCCATAGCTGCTGTGATCGTCACAGGGACGCGGTATTCATGATTAGTGGAGTTGCTTGACAAATATAGGGGTTTCCTAAAATGGGCACCCCCAAATCACCATTTCAATTGGATGTTCAATAGGATTTTCCAATTACAAACCATCTATTTTGCTGTACCCCCATTTTAGGAACCCCCTACATATAGAGGTCACTGTTGCATATGCATGAATTACATTGAATTACATCAGTTATTAGCCGCGTAGTAGGTGGATCTTGGGCTTCAAACTACTGATCGAACTGATTTCCCACGAGTCTAAATAGTGATTTCCCATGATTACTATCCGAAGCTCCGATGGCTGTATAGCCATCAGTAGCCAAGGCCCAGTATATCAATCGCTCTTTATCTGTGGCTTGGCAGAGTTGGTGACTCGATGACGGTCAAAGGTGCAGAAGAAGTGTGGGATTCCTGCAATTTACCCTCTGGTTATTTGGAAAATGACCCATTTACAGATGATGTACCTGTATGGCAAATAGATGCAAATGGTCATTTTGCGCCTTTGTTCAATAACCAGAGGGTAAAGTTAATGGCCAATGTTGATGATTTATCTATCACGAGTGGTGATTTTCCATAGCTCGGTTAGTTAATTGGAAGGAAGATCCCATTCATATCTTCCATTTTTGCCGTTTTTTTTTGGGGGGCGCCTATATCCTGATCAACCTCGAGCCAGTCTAGCTGATCAGCTGACATCGAGGTAGATGCGAACAGAGGTTTGGGATGGTTTGGGGTTGTCTCAAAATTTGGAACCCCAACATGTGTTATCGTCATGTTTACCCCTTCAATTGACCTTTTTGTGCATGTTGGAGCATCCCTGAGTCACCAGTTTTGAAAGGACCCTGTAGCGCACATATTCGGCTGGAAATTGAGTATTGGACGATTCAGTGCATGAGAGCAACCGTATCCGATTTAAAGGAGTTGTGGTTCATTAGTATTGGTTCCCTGTCTACTTTTTTTGTTTAACATATGGTTGTTACATGTTGTTACGATGTTATCATTTGAATGATGTTGATGTGTAGTCGACCTCCAAGGCATTGGGAGATGTGATAGAAGCTCTGAAACGGAAACCTGGAGGCTGCTGGATGTAGCTTCCAAGGATGGCCAGTCACACGGTGATCGTCACACGGCGATCGCCAGTTGCAGTCGTGGTTTTCACGTCGAGCGGGCAGATAACCTGAAGCTATACCCAGATGCTCCATGTATGATATATTTACGGGATAAATGTTGGTAAATAGGATAAATGTTGGTAAATATTGGTCATTTATGGGATAAATTTGAGTCATTTATGGGATAAATGTTGGTAAATATTCCATACATGGAGCATATGGGATATGATGTTGTTTCTGTAACAAAAAAACATTAGACGATCCTTTCTTTTTTCCCCATCCAAAAGCATGGCGAAGTGAACCGTGCTGCCTTGCTTCAACCTGGTAGTTGTCAACTGGTCGCTTGTCGCCGCAGGCCACGTGCCGTACCGCAACTCGCGCTTGACAATGCTGTTGAAGGACTCCTTAGGTGGCGATGCCAAGGCGCGACTCACCGGATTGGTTGCGCCAGGTCCCTTTTTCGCGTAGCGGGACTGTTGGTGTTTTTTTTTTCGGTGGGATTCACAAAAAAATACCACAAACACCTACCATTTGGGGATGGTTGATGCAACTAAAATGGTGATGTTTATTGGATGATTTATGACACCGGAATTGCCACATGAACGGTGGTTGTTTGTTTTCGAAATTTGGTGTTTGCCCCCCAAATCCAAGGGTTTCACATAATATCTAACATCACATTCCCTACTATAACTATAAAACTGCTGTTTTGGGATAGATACCCGATTTTCAGTCAAACCCAGGTTGGCTAGGGTTTTTTGGTAGATAATATAACCAATATAGTTTTGTAACTAGGGGGCAACACCTTGTAGTGAAGGCGGATTCAAAAAACGGCAATGGGTGTAGAACCGACCAAATTGAAATTAGGTGGATGTAGAAGTGTAGACGCTGACCAATCTTCAATTTTACGCAACCAAATACTTGGTTAGCTCATTTTGGCACATCCACTTATAAAGGGCTTGATCCAGTTGAGGAGGGAGCCAGGAATTTCAAGACCCAGGTGACCACTAGATGTTTGTCATTTTTGGTATAACCCATTCTATAAATCTTCAGGCTACTCGGCTACCCCATGTTGAACCTCACAAGTTGTGGAGTTTGACTTCGAGAGTTGGTTTAAATCAATGGCGCTGGCGTTTGATGGTTTGATCATGTGTGATTTTGGTTAATTACCATGTTGAACCCCAGCGACATGTCGTCGGTTGCGTCCATCATTCTGTGAATCCCACTCTTGCTTTTCTCAACCTACTTTCGTTTTGAAGGATCACCACACGGATCCCAACATATCCCAACTGACTAAGGACCTCGACTGGAATAATATAAACCTCTACAATTGTGCAAGTGTACCCTTTTGGTCAGTCGAATTAGCCCTGGTCGTTATATGTCCCCTCTAGGGTCCACTTGGCAACTGGTAAATAAACAAGTCTGAAGGGATCCTAAGGATCATCCCATATGCAACATGGACAACAAGAATGATAGTAATTACCTTCTGGTAATTTAACATAACTGTTTAACTATTGAAAATGGTGATTTATACTTGATTTACCTATTAAAATTGCTGATTTTCCATAGCAAACTGTTCGTTTACCATAGTAATTAGCCACTTGTGTCACTTGCAATCCGTTGAGTGATCCAAGATGAACCACTTGATCATCCCACGACTCATGGTCAGTGGTGAGTCAAGAATTCCTGGTCCCAGCAACTGGTTCATCATAATAAGCCTGGTTAGCCTACTAGTAATTATCCCAGCAGTTAATTTTTTTATTCCTACAATAAGTACTGGTTCCCAATAACCATCATCTTATTTGACTGTCAACCAATGACTGGTTGGTGGTTTCAAACATGTTTTTCCCCACCTGCCAGGTGAGGGTTGTTAGATTTTATGTCAGTTGCCTCCTCCTGCCTCGTCCTCCTCCTCCTCCTCCTCTCCTCCTCGTCCTCCTCGTCCTCCTTGTCATCCTTGTCGTCCTTGTCGTCCTCGTCGTCCTCGTCGTCCTCGTCGTCCTTGTCCAACTGCGACCCGCGATCCACAGTGTTCTCTGCCGGACCTCAACCACGACCATCCACGCCCAGTGTTCCCTGCCGGACCTCAACCACGACCAGCCACGCCCAGTGTTCCCTGCCGGACCTCAACCACGACCAGCCACGCCCAGTGTTCCCTGCCGGACCTCAACCACGACCATCCACGCCCAGTGTTCCCTGCCGGACCTCAACCGCGAGTATCCACGCCAAGTGTTCCCTGCCGGACCTCATGTAGGAAGATATGGGACAAAGAATGTGCAGAAGAAAGTTAGAAAGAATGTCAGAAAGAATGTCAGAAGATATGCTAGAAGATATGCCAGATAGAATGCCAGAAGATATGTCAGAATATATGCCAGAAGATATGCCAGATAGAATGCCAGATAGAATGCCAGAAGATATGTCAGAATATATGCCAGAAGATATGCCAGATAGAATGCCAGATGATATGCCAGAAGATATGCCAGATAGAATGCCAGATAGAATGCCAGAAGATTTGCCAGATAGAATGCCAGAAAATATGCCAGAAGATATGCCAGATAGATATGCAGAGGATATGCCAGAAGATATGCCAGAAGATATGCCAGAAGATATGTCAGAATATATGCCAGAAGATATGTCAGATAGAATGCCAGAAGATATGTCAAAATATATGCCAGAAGATATGCCAGATAGAATGCCAGATTGAATGCCAGAAGATATGTCAGATAGAGTGCCAGAAGATATGCCAGATAGAATGCCAGAAGATTTGCCAGATAGAATGCCAGAAGATATGCCAGAAGATATGCCAGATCATATGCCAGAAGATATGCCAGATAGAATGTCAAATAGAATGTCAGAAGATATGTCAGATAGAATGCCAGAAGATTTGCCAGTAAGAAAATGTATAAATGTCATGGTGGGGATCACACGAAGTAAAGTATTTGTTTTTATTATTATGTTCCATTTCATAATCATGGGATAATCAGGTAATCCCAAGGGGATATCATCATGGGATAATCCATGGGATATGTCATCCTTCCCATTGAAACAAACCACCAAGCAGATGATGTTTTATGACTCAGATCGGCAGGCCTTGATGTTTGTGAACGTCTCAATGTGCCTGGGACAGCTGCCAGAGACTCTGTCCTCTTTACGCTTTGCGAGTAAGGACCGCAATTGTCCCGGGAGGGGATGATTTCAGCGTTTCAGAAATGGTGATTTAAGGGCAGTCACCAAGAACGCTGCACGGGGTTCTCCACCAATTCTAATTTGGTGCACAAATTCTTGATTCCATCAACAATTTCGATGTTCGGCACCAATGATGTTTTAGATGTTTCAGTTTTACCAACACATAGCGGCAAATTAGGTTTTAGCATGTTTTAGCATCAAATTCTCTGGAATATGACCAATGATTCCAAGTCAAGGAATATCAATGATAGATAATGATGGACAGAAATGGGTTTCGTCCAAGAATACCCCAGAATCATGGGTTCCTGCTATGATTGATTTGTCATAACATGTCATACACCCAAATACCCAAATATTTCCCATGGATAGTTACGCTGCCATCCATTTTTTCCATTAAACTACAGAGCCAGGTAATGTTCATGCCCTTCACATTTGTTGGGTACTTGCATGATCTCTGAACGTAGTCATTTCTCAGAAAGTATCTGTTTTTATACCCTCTGGGTATTTAACATAGCCATGGTATAGATGGCCCATAGAAAAAGATGGTTTACCTATTAAAAATTGTGATTTTCCATTGCTATGTTAGTCATAACCAGAGGGTAACCCTCAAAAAGAAGTGCGATGTGATGGGATCCAAGCCCCGGCAGCAGGTCCATGCCTGCGAAGTGGGCCTTCCTTCCCGACGATTTGCGGCCTGAACATGCCTTATGTTTTATCATTTTCCCATAGTTTTCTTATGCTGTGTCAAAGGTCTATATACCACCAAAATCCACCAAATAGACAAGGTTCTTGATGGATGGAGCTCTAAAATCTAGAGCCGACGTGTTTTTTGTCGCTGCCTCGCATCGGAGTGAAGGATTGCCCAATTTTTCAAATTGTGGTGATTGGATGTGATCGGTGTTGGTCGCGAAGTCATGCAAAGTCCACAAACTTCTTAAGTCTGATCTTTACTTCATAGAATTGGATGATGGGAAAATTTACAGGAAACCCCTATATTCGATGGTAAAAACCATGGTTTCCTGTAGATTTTGCCTTAAACCAATCCATTGATTACTAGATATTGCTAGTTTCAAATCCTGAGTTGGCTTTGTGCACCTACCAATAGAATCCACGTGTGACACATTTTCAGGATGAGTTGAACCGAACTCGACACCTTAAGTATGTGAAGCCTTGCGTTACTTCACATGTTTGTTTCCAGGGCCGGGCGGCCCACGAACGCTACTTATGTATAATATTGTATAATTGCGTATAAATATATATATATATACATACATACATATCTTCACAACCAAAATTAGTTTTCACATGCTGCAAATCTCCTCTACTCCAATGCTGAGAGGTCCAGTTTTTTGTGCATGTGTTGTCCATGCTTGGCCAGTGGTGTGTGATGCAAGCTAAGTCTTACACATTGCGAAAGGCTGCCAATTTGATCCAATTTGTAAGTTTCTTTTTTTAATACATCTACCCACAAGCTTTAACTAATTGTATATCAGACAGATTCTTGGGCAAACTTCATCATTTCTTGGATAATCTGTACACTTTGGAACACATCATGCCCAGATGAATTTTCTGCTGGCCTCGTTGGGCACCTGGCCAAGTCACTCAGCAACCGCCCAGACTCGACGGCAGATTTTGTTGATCTCTGTGAAGTGGAAACTTGGGAATTGGTCTACTACTGACAACTGACTATAAATAACTTGTTTATCTATTGATTCACTACCAAGTAACTACCAAGTAAACTCAATAATGGATGAATAATTGGTCCAAACGAAGGAAACTTATATATTGAGTTTACTTGGCAATTTTACTAAGTCTACTACTGACTAACCATGAATAAATTGAGTATACTTTATTTGGGTTTGGCAATTTTGACATGGGAGATGATGATCCAAAAGATTTTGGGATGCCAATATTTTAGACAACGACTATTGATGGTCTCACGCCGTGACTCAAGTGAATCTGATTTGGTGTTTCAATCATGTGTAGATGGATGAAAATGTTTTTCGTCAACCACTACGCTGTTGCTATGTTTGGATCACAGTGTATTTCTGGTCTCTCCCCACATCTCCAAAAAACAAGTCTTCCAATGCAAAGACTGATCATTTATAGATTGTATGATGCTGTGGAACAACACCCGACTGAACAGCATGGAACGTCAACAATTCGTAATTCCGCGATGAATTCATCTAGACTCTACACTGCATAGAGCAAAACGTAGAAAAAACGTACAGCAGCTGAAAAAAATGTATGAGCAAGTTCGTGGGCATCACCAGCGTTGAACATGATGAATACGTTTGAATAATTACATTACACCATAAAATTTATATATTACAAAAAAGGCATGGCTCAGATCATACACTGCATGTGTTGTTCCTGTCCATGTAAATTGAAACTCTTTGTGTCAGAGTTGTCGAACGTTGTGATACTGCTGACAGGGTCAAGAGGATGCAACGTAGGCAAAGCTACTTGTGGGTTAAACCGACATATTCGCTGTGTATGTATATTCGAAGGAAGTTTAGAAGTCAAACTTCCGACAATATGGACAGATGAAAAGCAGAGCAGGGCAGAGGCAGAGAGAAGAGGAAGATTAGCAGAGAGAAGATCAGAAGAGAAAGAGTAAGAAGAAAGAAGATGCTGATGCGCGAAAAGGTAGGAAAGTCGCGAAACACTGTGTTTTTCCAATGATTTGGGGCTCCGGAGGGTCGAAAAGTAGGCTCGCTAAAGCGGCGGGTGCGGAGCCAGCTGGCCAGATGAGAGATGAAAAATTGCACGCCGTTGTGGCGCGAAGCACATTTCCAAGTCAAAATGTACAAAACACCAGGGGTTCGGACCACTTTTGGAAGATGAGCTGTCGAAAAAGTGCACGCCGTTGTGGCGCGAAGCACATTTGCAAGTCAAAATGTACAAAACACCAGGGGTTGGGACCACTTTTCGAAGTTGCGATGTCGAAAAAGTGCACGCTGTTGTGGCGCGAAGCACATTTCGAAGTCAAAATGTGCAAAACACCAGGGGTTCGGACCACTTTTGGAAGTTGAGCTGTCGAAAAAGTGCACGCCGTTGTGGCGCGAAGCACATTTGCAAGTCAAAATGTACAAAGCACCAGGGGTTCGGACCACTTTTGGAAGTTGCGATGTCGAAAAAGTGCACGCCGTTGTGGCGCGAAGCACATTTCGAAGTCAAAAGTGTTAAAAACTGACGGTCTCGGACCACTTTTGGAGGTTCAGATGTCGAAAAAGTGTCGAAAAAGTGGACGCCGTTGTGGCGCGAAGCACATTTGCAAGTCAAAATGTGCAAAACACCAGGGGTTCGGACCACTTTTGGAAGTTGCGATGTCGAAAAAGTGCACGTCGTTGTGGCGCGAAGCACATTTCGAAGTCAAAATGCACAAAGCACACCAGGGGTTCGGACCACTTTTGGAAGTTGAGATGTCGAAAAAGTGCACGCCGTTGTGGCGCGAAGCACATTTCCAAGTCAAAAGTGTTAAAAACTGACGGTCTCGGACCACTTTTGGAGGTTCAGATGTCGAAAAAGTGTCGAAAAAGTGCACGCCGTTGTGGCGCGAAGCACATTTCGATGTCAAAAGTGTAAAAAACTGAGGGTTTTGAGCATTTTTTGACGTTACGATGTCGAAAAAGTAGACACTGATTAACTTAACTAACTTGACTAACTTAACTAACTTCACTAACTTAACTACCCTAACTTCGACGACAACAGCAACAGCAACAGCAACAACAACAACAACCACAACCACAACCAGAACCACAACCACAACCACAACCACAACCACAACTACAACTACAACTACAACTACAACTACAACTACAACTACGACTACAACAACTACAACTACAACTACAACTACAACTACAACTACACAACAACTACAACTACAACTACAACTACAACTACAACAACTACAACTACAACTACACAACAACTACAACTAGAACTACAACTACAACAACTACAGCTACAACTACAACAACTACAACTACAACTACAACAACAGCAGCAACAGCAACAACAACAACAACAACCACAACTACAACTACAACTACAACTACAATTACAACAACTACAACTACAACTACACAACAACTACAACTAGAACTACAACTACAACAACTACAACAACTACAGCTACAACAACAACAACTACAACTACAACAACTACAACTACACAACAACTACAACTACAAAACAACTACAACTACAACTATATGACTGCAACTACACTACACTAATTACATTACACCACAACTACAACTCCACTACGCTACAACTACAACTACAGTTAGCAGTACATCACACTACATCCAGCAGCTGTGGGTGAGGTGACCACTGCAACCATTGCAACCACTCCAGCAAACACAACTCCAACCACCTTTCGGTCAATCAGTGGATTCGCTCTGCCATCCGTGATTCACAACATCCAACGTCTCCTATAGGTTTCCTATTCTGAAACTTCCGCCACCGCCTTGTGCGGTACTACTGGCACATAATGCATATGTGATCATATGTGCATATATCTGCACAGGTTGTGTTTGCGTTCTGTTCGTTAAATCCCAAAAAAATACTGGTGGATCATATCGCTTGTTCTTTCTCGCACACCCTCAAAGTACCAAACATGTTGCTTCAAATATGCATTTTTGGTTGGATCAATTTCCAATGTTCGCATCATCCCCCCAAGGGTGAAGGGAACATTTTCAAGACGCTATATATTCATGGGAAACAAAGCATGGTTTCATGCCGATTTTCTGGAAGAATCCATCCATTTTGGCTCAGAAGCCGAGCGGAGAACCGACGCGAAACGCGGCTTGTCGGTTGCAGATCACCTGAGACTTGACTGCAGTGGTCCATGTTGATTCTGGGCTTAAAAAGGTGGTGACTTAGTCCGGTGGGTTGACGAGCTGAGGGATTGATCTGGGTAAATTTGATCACGACCGAAGCCTGTTCTCCCTCACTCTAATCATAGTTAGTAGGGGAAATGATCCCCAAATGGCCGAACTATTCAGATTAGTGAGATATTGTAATTTACCCAGATTGACCCCATATTAATTCAATAATATTTGTCATGAAGATTTATACAACAAAAATGGGGTGTGACCGAAACAGAGATGCAACAGGAAACACTCTTGAGTACACAGCGAAAGCACATGTTCACAGAATGAAGGTGTAAAATGGTGTAACATGTAAATCATCTAAGCCCTAATATATAGCCCTAAAAAAATAGTCCTATATTCAGCAGAAAATCCATCTAAGTTTCAGTTTGACCACCATTTTTTTTATTGGGATATCATTGGGATTTCACTTTTACTGATTTGGTTCATCCCCATTTGTGGAATGAGTTCCCCATTTATAAATTTTATAAGCATAGAAATAAACTGGTTTCGAGGGCTTTATAGAGAATCTACAGTGATTTTTATGGAATAACGCTATTCGTTCGAGACCTCCCAACAGGTCTCGGCATGACGGGCTTTGCTGCGCGGGTTGCTGCTTGCGTTGGGACTCTCAGTGGCATGCTAAGAGGTGTAGGCGAGTTGTCTTGTTCATTGTGAAAGACCCAACTCTGTGAGGATATAAAATGATATAAAAATAATTATATATAAATATATTGATTCATATTTATTAATATATATATATACAATATAATCATATATAATGGGACAATTGTGTATTTGTGCATATCGTTTGATCACCTGCTAGGTTAACAATATGTTTATTCTCACATGTGTATTTTTGCAACACGTATGATAATTGTATATATATATAGTTGCATTTATATATATACACATACATATATATATATATGTTTGTGCATTTGTTTGGGATACTATTATAGCGGGAATAGTGTCATGAAAAAAATGTATAAGGCACTGGTAATTATTGTGCAGTTTGGACGAAGAAG